TTCTCAGAGAAGCCACCCCTGTAGCCCCCACTCTATCAAAACCTTGCCACACAAACCCAATACGAGAATTTATGGATCTGACATCACACTTGAAATAGTAATTCAGATAAGTTATTTTGGTGGTAGGGAAAAACGAACCCCCCTCATTTTCATAGGTAATTTGTTGAAATTCAATGAGGGAAGGACTGTTACCTAATGCTGTGTTTACTGTTCTCCTTGTACTTTTTGTCTTTGCCTGTTCCTTGCCAACTCCAGGGTTTTGCTGCTCCTCTGTGTCCCGAACTGGCAGCATCAGTCTGCACTCCAAAGAAATGCAAGCAGCATAGTCTAGGCCTTCATCCTAAAAGTCACTGCTAATGTTGGGATGTTTTACTGGTCAGGTACCCTGGAGGAAAATTTTTAAGAATTTGGTCTCTTAAATCTTGTGTTTTTGAAAAGAATTTTGTTGGTCAAAAGGATAATATGTGCAAGCAGGGAAACAAATTATTCCTTTCCTAATGTCTTTCTTCTGTGATCACCTAGATTTAACACTTCAAAGGAAGCATGGCTTTCTAGTTCTGCAATGCCATTTTGGATTTTTGATTTAGAAATAAAAAAGTCATCTTGATGGTTAGAACTATGTTGGGTATATTTATTAATGAACAATTTGTGTTCTCATTCCTTTTAATTTAAAAGAAATGGCTGCAAGCAAATGACCTTCAGAAAGAAGTATACCAGCATCTGGCCTATTATGTACCAAAAATTTACTGCAGGGGTCCTAACCCTGCCCCACAAAAAGAAGACATGCTGGCACAACACGTTTTGCTGGGACCAATGGAATGGTATCTTTGTGGTGAAGATCCTGCATTTGGTTTTCCAAAGCTTGAGCAAGCGAACAAACCTTCCCATCTCTGTGGCCGCGTTTTTAAAGTGGGAGAGCCTACATATTCTTGCAGGTACTTCAACTTTGCATTGTGAAATATTTATAATCTGTGAAGTTGTGAAACATTTTTTGATAAGAATATGCTGTCCTAATGAAAAGTTAATACCCCAAATATATTTTTAAAGTAACCTTGCAGTGTTTCATGACAGGTGGAACCAGGGGAAAACTAACACACTACAGATTTGTAAATGGAAAAATATTAATTGGTATAATGTAGAGTGGTTTCTATACAAAAGGATTGCAAGATTAAGAAAGTGGTTGGGGTGAACTGTCAGTGGCATTAATCAGAAGTAAGCGGGCAGGTGTAAGTGCATGTAATTCAGGTGTTTAACATCAGCTGTTAGTGTTGGTCCTGTATTTTAGATGTCTTTCCATGACCTGTTAAACCAGTCTATTGGATGCTAAACCAGATGTACCAGCTTCTTACTGCTTCCCTACCTCTATCTGTAGTTTTCTCTAAAATTACCATTTTACTTGAAAGAGGACAGGAAGTTACTAACCAATTACAAGAATTTAAAAAATTTTCAGTTTTAAGCCAGTGTTATTACTAGCTGTATATTCATTATCTTCTTTTTCCTGAACCATCTGTAATTTAAGTTTAGTTTGTACCCTCTCTGTCACAGCTTCTGCTTGTCCTGTTTGGTTTCTACCACTCTCTCAGACACTTGAACACTTGGGGTGACAGGGGGAGGGAATGTCTGTCTTATTTCAAGGGTTTATTCTTCTGGATTTCTATCGCCTTCATTTACAAGGAGAGAAAGATTGTAGACTAACTTTGCTCTCTAGTGTTCTCCTGTTCTAGAAACGTGATACCTTACTGGCCTTATTTGGTGAAGTTCTGATTCAGGGTGGACTTGAGATAACTCAGCAAGCTGCCTCTTCTGCATTTCTATTTCAACCATCAATTAGAATAGGTAGCTTTGGAAATGTTTTGAGACTTCTTACCTTGAGATGGATGAAATTAAACTGGTGGGTACTTTAGGTACTTCCAGCCACTAAGAAAACTCCATCTCCTCTCAGGTGTTCTTAGGTTCTTCCTTCACACCTGTGGAAAAAGTGGAGAGATCTGGGTAGGGAGACTGAAGACTATCAGAGGCTATCAAAATGTTTTCCACAGTTTCTTTATTACCTTTTCATGAAATCTGGTCCTAAAGAACTGAAAAACCAAACCTCAGGACTGATGTTTTATTTCAAGTCAAATTGCAGTGCAGCCTAGAAGTAATATGGTAATGATCAAATACTCTTCATATGAGGTAGTGAAAACTGTGGGAGTTCTGTTAATTTCTTCTAAACATTGCTTTTTCAAGACCAACAACTCTTTGTATAAGGTATATCCTTGAGAATACTGTCAGATATGATGAAAACATAGAATAATGCAATTCACTTGTGTAGAATTTAGAGAATGAGTGAATGTACTATTTATACTCAGGCTCTTTGTTTCAGTAGAAAAATGATTTAAATACAGCAATATAATAATAATGTAATTCAGGTTAGAAAGGATGTCTTGATAGGCCATCTTGTCCAATCTTTTGCTCAAGTCAGGATCATCAGTGAATACAGAATATTTTTTGCTGTAGCTGAATATTGCAGAATATTTTTTGCTGTTTTGCAGAGGTTTAGTCTGATCTATTGTATGCTATCTTTCTTTCCAGTGTTCAGTGAAAAAAAGGCTTCTCTGCTGAAGATTGTTAATGCTTGTACTCTGTACTTGAGAGAACTTGCTTGGGTTTATACTGTTTACCTGTCTGCACTGTGTTCTGTTATTAATCTGTTTACTTGCTTGTATACTTGTCATCTCTTGGAGGCAATGGCTATGTTGCCCAAATATACATGCTACCCAGACAATATTTTAAAGCCTCTTCTGTTATGAGACCAGATGAGTTTTTTTTTCCTCCTTCATTTGTTTTCTCCTCCTTGGAGGGCACCCCTTTCCTCTTTCAGAATAATATATACGTTAGTCAGACAGTTCATATTGGTGATACTGGAAAATTACCTGTTGTAAAATGTGTAATTAAAGGCAAAAACATTTGTTTAATGCTGCTTTCTTTTGTTGTTGTTGCTGTTTTCAGAGACTGTGCAGTTGATCCAACTTGTGTGTTATGCATGGAGTGCTTTCTTGGAAGTATTCATAGAGAGCACCGATACAGGGTTAGTAATACCGCTGGAATATATGATGTAGTCATTAATAATTTTTGCATGTGTATGAAACTCCTTGTTTAATAATGTATACATAATTTCAAAATGTTGGATGAACACAAAGTTTGGAATTATGTCTGCAATAATCTTACAAGAACTTGAGTGTTTTGTTCCAGGTGTAAATTCTAAAAGTTAACATGTTAAAATATCGAGCAATTAAATTTTATGCACAGCAGTTAAGCTTACAAATGTATGTTATTTTTAACATATGCCTTTTAGTGACTTTTACAGCATTAGAGTTATTTTTTGACTTGTTTGACCTTGAGTTTTAACTATTTTGAAAAGGTTTTGGAAAACTTTTGTTAAGAAACCACTTTTATTTAAAACTTATTTCCTTTAAGCATCTGAATCGTTGTAAAATTCTGTACAATAGCAGGATGTTTGTTTGTCTTTAAACATAAAGTTAAAATAGAAAACTAAAACTGTAAATGCTGTTTATTTTAGTAATATACTCCTATTAGTAATACAAAGTAGTTCAAAAAAAACTACAAACAAAACCAAGGCGGCCTTGGTGTGTTTTTAAACCAAGAAGCTAGGTGAAAACTACCAGTGCAGCCTCTCTGTAAGTCTGTTTTTGACAATACTACGCTGCTGTTAATGTAAATCCGATCACTGCATGTTACACTGAGTACTAGGATTTAGGAGGCGAAAGAAAAAAAGCACAACTTGCGCCAAGAAACCTGACCCGATTTACTGATATCAGCATACTTTCTGTATGTAGGTTTTTAGTTTGCAAGCTTAATGAATTAACAATTCTAGGTGACACCCAAAAGTGTAAGCAAATGTTCTTTCTAATGTCCATCTAATTTTGTTGATACTGTAGGATGTACCTGTATGTACAGAATGTACCTGTATGCCAGAAATAAGTGAAAGAAGAATTCTTCTGTGAATCAGTTAATAGTTTTGGTTCAAAAAGAGTATTATTACACTTAGTAATTTGAGGTAGTCTTAGCTTTAGAATAAATTTTATTAAAACAGTGTAAATATATCATTACAGTTTTCAGACACTTTTTTCCTCTGCTTACTAAGACTTATGTGAACAATTTGTCTGTCAACTCCTTTTACTGTAAACAGAACATCTTTTACTCGCTGCGTAATAGTGCTATATGAAATGATTTAGCTTGGTTCAGATTAAAATGTGAGAATCTGAAATAGTACAGATGGCATTGCAAATAATAGATTCAGAAAAACTGAAAACCAGGAATAACCCACAGCCTTCAGGTGGGGAAGATTGGAGGTATTTGAAGGTTTTTGTTTTGTTTTTTCTTCTTTTCTTTTTTTCTTTGGCATAGGCAGACTGATGAAGTAGATAAACTTTCAGCTGTCATAGAGGCAGACATGATTTCATTGTGCTGTTTTAACAGGGTACTGGCTAAAGCTATCAGGTGTTGGGATCGTCCTTTCCTAGTTTAGCTATGAGTACTAATTTCTTAATGTGCATGTTTATGTATGCATATTCACATGAACTGTTTTGGTTTTAAATAATTTTAGATGACAACATCAGGTGGAGGTGGTTTCTGTGACTGTGGTGATACAGAAGCTTGGAAAGAAGGTCCTTACTGTCAAAAACATGAACTTAACACTTCAGAGACTGCAGAAGAAGAGGTAATAACAATTGAGGCATCATGTTTCAAAACATTGTTAACTGTGTATACATGTGTGTATACATGTGTGTATACATGTGTGTATACATGTATAAATCATTCATATGAGGTTATTTTTAGTCTTGTATACCATGTATGAGAGATGGAAGGAAATTTAATAGTGATATTTGAACTACACTGTGTTAGACCAAATTAATGTCTTGTCTAAGTTAAAGAATTATTTAGAATTATATTTTCTACTTGAAGGCTTCATTTTGTATGTTCTTGGTTGCCTCTAGTTCTGCTTCTTTGTCTGTCTTTTTCTGAAAGGTGAAGTGAGTCTGCCACGTGGGGGAAAAAAAAAATCTGTATGTAATTGTGTGCATGAAGAAGCCAAATTAAGCTGTCTGTGCAACATATGTTCTGTTTCTTACCGAAGTAAAGTGCACAGATTTTTTAAAATCAAAATAACTTGCTATTACAGGAAAGTCATAATGGAGATATAAGATGGAGGTCTAGAAAAGCTTGTTTGGTGTGGAGAAGGTAAATAGAGAACCTATCTTCACCATTTCTAATAGCATAACAATTTGGACATATTAAATGCAAAAAGACAGGCAACTCCTTACAGTATGAATTCAAGCTGTTGGAATGACTATTACAAAACACCATTGTTGTTAAAATTGTATATATGTTCAAAAGGAAATTTAACATGTTTGTGGAGGGAAAAAATGATCAATGGCCATTAAAAATTGCAGATACTGTATTTGATGCGGTAAGTATTAGTGTCTTAAGTTACTGGAGATCAGAGGAACATTCTGTCCTTTACTTATGCTCTTCCCTTAATACCAGTTATTACATCTCGGGCATGAGAGTAAGAAGCCTACCAGAGCTGGGCTTTGGGCTAGCCACTCACGTCTGTTCTTATGTAGTATAATTTCTGTGAGATTTTTTTTTTTGAAGGGAAAATACAAGGCAGATCTTGTAGGAATGTTGCTGATCTGATTAAGTGAAGCAACTGTAACTGTGTTTGCAATGACAGTGGTCCTTCTAAAATCTGTTCTCACTATCTCAGCCTTAAGACTCTAGCACTGCTGCATGGACCCACCACTTGATCTGCATGCCAGTTTACATTAGTTGGCAGCCTTAGAAAAGTCTTGTTCTGGTATCTTGGGTGGACTGCTACTTCTGTGTCCAAAGATACTCGTATAGTGACTGTGACTGACAGAAAAATTAAGGTACTGGACAGGCTTTGTGTTTCTTCCCCATGAATGATGGGGATTGAGATCTCTTATGTTACGCAATGTTGTGTTCGAGGTAGATAAAGGATGATTTGTTGAGCATTATTGGAGCCCATTTTGTGCCTTGCCCAGATACATGTCTTTGAAAGTGCTGGGAATGGAGGCAGTGCTGCTGCTTAAGGTTTGCCTTTGCTTTTGGTGACTGATAGTTCTCCATACCCTAGGTAAGTTTTAAATGAAGCAAAAAAGGAGAAATGGCCGTTATTAACATTCCTGTAAAGCTTCCACATATTCCCAAAGAATTGGGGGGGGGCGTGTGGGCAGGGGGAAGTGGATAAACTTCACTAGTACAGGTGAATTGCTGACTGTCAAGGGCCTCCTGTAGCTAATGCAGACTTAAGTTCTGAAACGATTATTGTGGCCATTTTTATACAACATAAACTGTAGTGAAACACAGAATTTGGTATTGAGTAATCCTAAGACAGAAATTGGGCTACTGTTAAATGTTTTAATTGGCTAACAATTACACATACTTCAAAATATCAAACGATGAATTGAGTCAGTAACCCAATGTATTGTGTATGTCCAGGTGACCTGCAGGGCATGCAATGTTCCCTTTCCAGCTTTGCAGAAGAGGGACTGGTTGCTCTGAACATCAAAAATTTGAAATAGTAGAAGAATTGTTTCAGAGAAGAGGTTTTTAACGTTTTCTATTCACACACAAATCCTTTGAAATGGATTGGAAGGAAATGACAGTGGTACCTGTACTACCTGATTCAGAATTGGCAGCAGTTCTCATTTGGTGCTCCAAGAAGTAGTCCCTTTGGCTTTGCAGACTGAGGCAGCACTCCTCTTCCTCTCCCTCCTCGTTTCAGTTCCTCCACTGGCAGCAGCAGCCGTTCTGCTCTGGCAGAGAGAGGATGAGTTTATAGTGGCTGCTGCAGCTGTTGAATGAGGGCAGCATGCTGGAGACTGCAGAATGGGCACAAGTGGGTGCGTGGTCCACATACAAATGGGGAACAGCTGTCTGTGAACAAGACTGAGACATGGGCAGATCACTATGAAATACCTAGTTAAGTTTTAAACATTTAATTACTTATGTACCACAGCATGTAAGAGACGTGTGTCATAAATTATGATCCCAGTGTGCTGAATGTTGTATAAGCTTGGATAGATAAGACTTCTATCTCTAAATGTGTGCTACATATGAAACAAGGCAATAGATGTATAGCTGTTTGTACTCTGCAGTTTACTGATATTGGTAAGGATCAAAAGATACAGTGGTTTCAAATTATGTTTTTGAAGACATCGCAGAAAAAGCAGATTTTAATATAGCTGAGGTTAAAAGTTCTTCAGAACTATCTTAGAAGGTGTGCAGAAGTGGGAACAATAAAAGAGGAATGGAGAAGTGTGTGAAAATTTAAGTGGGTGATCAGAGGCGAGTTAACATTTTGGTATTGCACGTTAGGTTACTGCTTGGGTGATTGTCAGTCAAGAACTGGAAAAAGAAAACAGGATGATTATTGATTCTATTCCTTTCAAATGTAAAGTCATTTAAAGCAAGATATCATTAAAGATGCTTACATCGTCATTGACAGAGATGCAGATTTGACAGTTTGTGTTTTGAAGGTCATTTAATTTCTCAGTTGCTATTTATTTTCCAGGATCCTCTTGTGCACTTACCAGAAGATATGGTAGTCAGAGCCTATAATATTTTTACCATCACATTTAAATATGCAGTAGATATATTAACATGGGAAAAGGAAAATGAATTGCCTGGCCTAGAAATGACGTAAGTATAGTATTTGTCTTCTGCCTTTTAAAGGCTTGCAGATATTTACAATAGAAAATGCAATTTCTGATTTTAAGTATCTTTTCTACGTGTCCTAAAATTGTCAGGAATATTTTGTAGACAATGGACTAAAATAATTTTAATAAATTTGTTTTTCTCATATTTTTTACTTTTGTGATTATACAGCCCATTCTCTCCATAGTGATGATGAAACAAAGTCTTTGTGATACATTTGTTTTCTTAATATTGAAAAGGAAGTATTAGTAAAATGCAATACTCTAAAACAAGTGGTGGGTTATTTTCTTATGATCAAGTTACTGAAACTCTGATGGCAAAAGTATTTTGTACTTTTGTTTATCCACTTACTACAAATTTTGAAACATTACAGAATGTTTAAGTGTATTGTAGCATCATAGTTATCATGGATTAATTTGTGACATCTTGTTAGTGTCTTACTTTGTGTTCTGTGGGTAAGAATGCTGTGTAAATAAATGATGGGAATCAAAAGATTGCACTGAATCTGTGTAAGCTTAATAAGTTGTGGTTTTGAGGATTGTGGAGTTTGGGCTTTTTAAGACACTGCCAAGTTTTTGTTATCTAATAGACTTTTATGCAATATTGGGGAAACAGGTGTGGCAAAATAATGCCAAGACTGGTGGAATCTGTAAGAAGCTATGGGGGAATGTATTGAGCACAGCTGCACTGGAAGGAAATGTTTTTTCCTTAGTAGGAAACTATCAATACATAAATCACAAATGTTCAAAAATAATACTCAGACTTAAGTATTGTCTTAAGATTTTGCTAATTTTGGACTGAATTCTGCAGGAAAGATGCACATTCCTATAGAAGTTGGGGTGGTCAGTCCTTTTCAAATAAATTATTGAGATATGTTCCAGTATAGCAAAGGAAGCCCAGGTTTGGATTGTCTGCTTGGTGGAAAACTTTGTTAAGCTAGAAGCTGATTTTTAAAAATTACATTACTTTGAATTATATAAATTCAATCTTTGCTTTGAAGTGAGAAGAGTGACACTTACTACTGCATGCTGTTTAATGATGAAGTCCATACCTATGAACAAGTTATTTATACTCTTCAGAAGGCTGTCAACTGCACGCAGAAGGAAGCTATTGGTTTTGCAACAACAGTAGATAGAGATGTAAGTAAATTAATTGCTAGAACTTTTAATTATACTTACCTTAATGTTTATTTTATATGACTACACTTACTTTAGTTTGTTTTCCCGAAGAGTGTGGTTAACGTGATTGAGCCCTGTGTGTCAGGCCACCCTAAAATGTCTTGACTCATTGGCCAGTCCAAACCAGACCTAATATTGAATATATGTTTCAGTGTAGCTGTGTTCCAGTAAGTCTTGTGAGTGTAGATAGCAGGGTGTCTCTCACTCCTCTGTCAGGGAAAGGCAGCAGCTCATACCGTACTGTACACCAGGGATCTGACCTTGAAAGAGCCCCTGTATATGCTCCAAACATGGGAAACGCTTCTCAGAGTCACACTAGTCAACTGTGAGGGACACAATCCATAATTGACTGCTTTTGTTCTGGTACTCATGGAACTATTTGTGATTTTTTTTAAATTTAATTTTCTTTTTCATAATTGTCAGATGATAATGGCAGGAAGAGGTAAAGCATTTCATACAGCATTTAGAATGAACAATGAGTTCACAATCACTACGTGCTGAATTTATTTTTAACTAATATGTCAATCTCAGAGGCACTCTGTCAGCTGTGCTGGTATTGTGGCTTGTGTGCGTTTTTTAAAGAAAGGGACACTTTCTAGCGACAACTGCATCTTGTTATTTGTGCGGTGAGCCTGTAAGCAGTTGCTATGAGAATGAGTGTCCTTTTGTGTTGTTTTGTTGGTTTGTGCCTTTTTTGGGGCGGTGGTGTGGGGAGGAAGTCTCTTCCAAAATGACAATGAGAGTGTCATTTGGGGTTGTTAAAGTACTTCAAGAAGGTCGGTGGAAAAGGAAGTATAACCACTTTATATTACTTAACATGGAACTAGATTTTGGTTTTGTATTATCACTACTCTGCGTTTGTGATCTCAGTAACCGAGATTCCCATCTGATCCCTGAATATGTGCCGACTTGAGCACATGCTGTGTATTGTAGAATGCACTTTGGAGATTTTTCCCTGCTATTGATTCCTGTCCTACTTCTAAATACATACATGAATGCATATATACATATGCACATGTGTATGTATATAAAAGAAATGAGAATGTTGTGCTTGTAACAATGATTTGGCATCAGACCAAATCTAAAATCTCAGTAAGCTATTCTGTCTATAATACAGTATAAATTGAATCAGCTATCTATTTTAATGTATATATTGACAGGATAGAAAGACTGGCAACCTTCCAGTTTGGAAAAAAATCAAGTTCTTTAGTTGTATGTTTAAAAGACCAATTAGCTTCACTATCTGCTTTTTAAAAGACATTGGAATGTCTGAAATATCTTTAAATTCTACCAGAACTAATGATCGATGCATTAGTACTAAAGATAAGTTTTCAGTATTTTCAATAAAAGAAGTGTGATGGTTGTGTCTTAAAAACAGTATTATACACAGAAAATTTAGTAAAACAGGTAACTGCATATATGATACAGTTTTATTTTTTTTTAAAAGTACAGTTAAAAAGTGTGTTTTGGAAATCCAAGTATGTAATGTGTACAGTACTTTAAAAATGAAAATAGCATGAAAGAAAGAGTGGTTAACGTGCATCTGAAACTTCTACTGTATCTGTTATACTAATGTAAAACACAACATTTGAACTTCTTGTTTAGAAGCTGGTGGTAATGTTACTTCTTTACGAATTTAAAGGGACGTAGGTCTGTTCGATATGGAGACTTTCAGTACTGTGATCAAGCAAAATCAGTAATAGTGGTAAGTAATAGTGGTAAGTAGTATTATCTACTTACTTGCCTCATCTTAAGCAAAAAGAGGCTTTGCTATACCGTTTTGTGATATTGTTACCGTGATGACTCTTTATATTTTAATAATACAAAGTTTTGGGGATACTATTTACAAGATGCACAGCAGAGGTATCAAAATACAGGTTTATGCTCCACTTTTCTTTTTGTTTTTTCTACTATGATCTAACTTGAACTGAAAATCATTTCCTAAAAAGAAGTTCCTAGACAGCTTTTCCCTTCAGAAAACATAGTTTAATCAGGAACTGCAAGTATAATCTTTTAGAATTGCATGTCAGTTCAGATCAGTAAAATTAAACTATTTTAGTTTTTCTCCTGTAGTATGAAGTTGTTCGCATCTTTCACAGCCACAACTATGGAAATTGTTACTGATTGAATCCAAGTGTGAAACTACAAATACACTTTCATTTCCTCTGTGTGTGTATTTATATGTGTGTATATATTCATAAAATATATATTACAAGGTTCTTCCATGTAAGAACGCGAGAATAATATTTTCAATTTAGTTTTTCTTTACACTGCTGCAGTGCAGTACTTAATCACATGTAATAAATAGTTCGTGTATAATGCTGCTACCACTGAAAAACAAATACTGCAACTAGAGTTACTGGCCTTAAACTATCTAAAGTATTTTGAAAATGTTAACTTATCTTTAAAGATAAAGTTGTGCAATATTTTTGACTTGCCACCTATGCAGCCAGAAGAACAAATGGCTTTTATGTGTAATGTCTGACTATTAAGGTTTCTAATACAGAGATAGGGGTAAATACTTTCTTTCTTGTTTTAACTCTCTGTGTTTAATTTGTGTTTTTGAAAATAGTCCGTGGACAGTTTCTTTCCTTGGTGGGCTGCTGTGTGGCTTGCAGGTCACGTTGTGAGGAACAAATATGCATGGCTGTCCTAGGTTGTGCGTGGGACTGCTTATCAGTAAAATGCAGCAGATCAGTGTGTACATTGATAAGAGGCCAAGAGTGGAAAATGGATTGACCTATATATGTTGATGTTGCATAATAAGGTCCTTCAAATATTAATAGGGTAAACAAAATTCAGACTTTTTTGGTTTTATTTCTTGCCTATGTAGATGTTATTAATTAGAATATGTATTAATATTATAAATTATTGAAATTAATCATAGGAATGCTGTGTTTCTGTACAGAAATATATGCTAGTCCTCACTTAAATATGCATTACCTCCTTTTTCCTTTTCTTTTTAAGAGAAATACCAGTCGTCAGACAAAACCATTGAAAGTACAAGTTATGCATTCATCTATTGTTGCCCATCAGAGCTTTGGTCTGAAGCTCCTAACATGGCTTGGCAGTGTTATTGGATATTCAGGTGGGCAAACTTGAACTTTTTTGAGATAAGTTAGAGAGTATTTGTGAGGCAAGCTGAGTTCTTGAAGCAATGTTGTCTGCTTATTTCAGATATGTAATATATAAGGCAAAGCTGTTAATAACTTGTCAGACTTCATTCTGTTTTCTCTTCTTGAAGTGCTGTTCTGAGTTCTAACTTCCATATGAAAGTGCTACCAGTCTTACTTAGTCTTCTCGAATACTGTTCTCTGTTCAGTTGCTATTGAGGGGAAGCTGAGAATTGCTGTCAAATGCTCTATGCCAACAAGCTATTTTTCAGTCCCTCATTCTTTTTAAATGAATGCAGTAAGATGAAAATAACCTGTCTGATTAGATAAAACAAAATTATTCAGAAGTAATTTGATGAATCATGATGAAAGTGATTGCTTCAGATTTTTTGCTAAGTAGAACAACAGAGAAAACGCAAGGATGTGTGGAGGTTTTTGGATAAGTATAGAAGCCAACAAAGTATTAATCGGATATTTAGAAAGAGATTTCTTCAAAGGAATCAAGATTCACAGTATCATTTTTATGGGAAAGCTCTGTGTTTGTTTTGGGTTCATACCGCCTTTGTCCTGATGAGTCATAAGGTTGTGAACATGTGGAACATGAGGGGAAGTAAAAGAAAAATGTGTCAAACTGCTGATTTGTAGAAATGTAGGTATAGTCTCCAATGCACATTGTGTTCTATGCATCTGTAAATGTTAACAGGAATTACTAGCAAAGCACACTCAGCTATAACATTGCATATATGTTCTGCGTAGGTGCAAGATTTCTTCAGAGATTGTATGTTTTATTAGACTGATAGTTGAAAAACTAGGCAAGATTTCAGGCACAGGATCTCTATATCATGTTATCTTTTTTGAAAGATGAGTAGTTTATGTTTGTATAAGTTAATTTTTAAATATACGTGAATCAAACTTTTGAAAAGTTATGGTAGCAGTTTGTTGAACTATTTGCCAGTATTGCTGGCAAATAATAGGTATTAATAGAAAGGAGACATGAAGATATTTAATTTCTGAGATTAATTTTCCTTTCAGTGTAACCTGTAGGCAGGCACTGTCTTTCTCATTTTCTTTAAGCCCAATTTTGTGCCATGTCATTTGTGCCAGGTGTCAAAGTCATTGCTAAATTACAGTTGCAAAAAAGTAAACTTGAATATGTTAATAGAGATTCAAATTACAGATGGAAGCATTGAATTTATAGTTTGATTTGTGTGATTGGTGTTTCTGAAGTTCTGCAGAGTTCGCTTCATTAAATGCAGTATCCTTTGTGATTCAGAAGGGCAAAAATAATGTTTACTGGTAAGAGTTATGCATATATTTTGTCGTTGACCTACATGCTCAACTACTTGCAACGCCTTACACACCTTGAGACGCAGTCTTGCAATGTACTCTGGAGTCTGGTTTTGCGAAATTCACTTTTGAATAAGTTGCTTTCCCTTAACTTTTGAACAAACACACCCAAACATCTAGATTCTGCTCAATATTTTAAACAGCCTGTTACTGTTCATCTGTAACATGGGGTGATAAAATTGCACTGCTTAGGTGGTTACACTTAAATGTCCCTGGCCAAAGGGTTTTTGGCAGGTGGAAGGGTCTTCTGTGGTGCCACAAAGTTAGGTTGGATGATTGCTGTGACGTGAGTGTCAAGCTCTTGTCAGAGAATAAGGGGAAAAACTTTACCGTGGAACTTTGTCACAAGCTTCACTACCACATCCTTTCTAGCAAGTGTCAGTTCTTTACGAATAAGCATCTGTTTGCTGTTTGTTGAACAATGCAGTAGTTTCCATGAATTTTTTACCCTTCATAACAGTAGTTGAACTCCGCAAGACAGGAAAAAAACCAAACCAAACTGCTATAGGGATTCACAGACTGTATAGAACTGCACCGTGCAGGGCAGTGAACGCAGTTAAGATGCTGAGATGGCTAAGCGGCATGCAGAAATAAGGGCTAATGCGTGTAAGTCATATAGTTGTGTTAGTGAATATGCATTACCTGCAGTGCAAAACTAGGTTGAACATTGTTAATGTGAGCCCATCTGTGTTGTGTTCTGTTGCAGATGCAGGCTTGTCTGCAAGGATGTAATAATTTATATGTTCACATAATAACAATTATTACTGTGTTCTGTCAGGAAAAAAAAGGTAGAGAAGCTTTAAAATAATAGCAGCTAGTAAGGGTAAACAAAAAAACTTGTATACGAGTTGTTTCATGTATGAATTATATTTTCCTTTTGATAGGGCTCTAAACAGGAAAGACATAACCTAGAAAATTAGCTTGCTGTATAATTATTTCTTATATTAGTAAGCCAGCAGCACTTTTAAGAAAGCACATTTTTATTTGATAACTTTGAAATAAATCATAGTGTTTGGCAATTTTTACAAGGTTCCTAATGTTCCATAAGGTTAGTATGAAACTTGCAAGGTATAAAATATGTGTTTCTATCAGCAAAATATAAGCAGTGTTCCTCAGTTGTCAAGGAAAAGAGGGCCCTATGGGTTCTACTGTCTTATGAAAATTCCAGTATGTCAAAATAATGTACAAGTTTCTGTTTAAGCTATAAGTAACTTAGATAATTTTTCTTCATTAAGATGGCCTTCGTCGAATATTGTGTCAGGTTGGTTTACAGGAGGGGCCAGATGGTGAAAATTCTTCTCTTGTGGATAAGCTGATGCTGTATGATTCTAAACTGTGGAAAGGTGAGTTTTCTCAGACTTACGGAAAATGCTAAAGAATGCTATGCCTAAAAGTTTCTCCCTTTCCTCTGTCTGCTAATGTTTCATCATTTTTACTGTGGCGTATGATAGATAGAATTGCTTGATTTGTTATAATCTATCCCTTCATGATGCATTCCAAATATATTGAAGACAAGAACATAAGGAGACCATTTGGAGATGGGGTTGGTTTTAAATTTGATTTTTCAAAGTAGTCTGAAATTAAGGCTGACTTAAATACACAAATGACAGTGATAGGGGAAATTAAGTAAACGATAGAGTGATTTGGGCTTTGTGTGCTTTATAAGCTCTCAGCATCTATATCACATCTACCAAAATGCCTCTTTTTAAGGAATGGGGCAGAGGTTTTGTGCTTTGACTTGTGTTGTGTTCATGAGATATTCTTAAGTGTTCTGAGAACATTCAGTGAAAAGTGCTGTTCTGTTATTTTAGACCCCTGAAAATTTTAAAAGCCTGATTGATGTAATAGGATTGGCTGGAAAATTGTATTTTTGAGGAAGTGGAGGTAGTTAATTTATTTTCCTTGTGGCTTCTGTGTCTGATTTGATATTCTGAAAGGGCATGTAAGGCCCAGTGTAAGAAAGAGAAGGCAGAGAATGAGGCAGTATGTATCTCTTTTCCTTATTTAAACATGAATATAGTATTTTGAAGCTTGCTACCCTCCCCCCACTATCTGTTGTTCTTCAGTTCTGCGATATAGATATCCTGGAGAGTAGTAACATCTCTTTGTGGTCTCTCTTGGGAGCTTTTTGGAGCAGCAGTAAAAGTAGTAAGGTGGAAAGTGGATGTAGTATGGAGAAAATTATCATTTTAAGTTTTATCTACTACCTTTATGTTGTGTGAATGAATTCTGCGCACTCGGATTATTATTTTTTTTTTAACCACAAATTTTGTGATCTGAAAGGTACTGCTTTTTTGGATCATTACAACATTTCTAATACCAGTTTTGTTAGGATAATGTTTTTCATGTAAGCAGGGAGTAACTTTTGCATTTCTATTTCAACATGAATATTTCTCTGCTTTTTCATGTATTCCATAGTTACTCTGCATTAAGGAAATAGTGTAATGGCTTTTGACTTAAAAGTGACTTACAGAAAAAAATAGTACATATGTGCATGTATTTCCAAGCTACATACAGTCAATTCTCATTTGTATTGATAATATTTTCTGGGATGGTGCTCAGACAGACTAGAAATTCAGAGATAGCCAAGCTGATTATTTTGCAGAGTTGTCACAACTAGCAAAATTTATTGTAGTTTCCAGGACTTCTTATAATAGTGTGGTCCTTTTTTCCCTGGCCTATCCAAATCCTCTGTTTGTCCTGAGGAGGAATAGAGTTCCATTCTTGTTTGCCTGGCTTGCCTTATATTTGAAGGTTTTTGTTCCCATTCAAGAGCTCAGTGTTATTTTATGCAGGAGTAATAAGTAATGCTACTTGAAGAATTTTGTTTTATTTCTTTTTTGTCCTTTGCTACCGCTTGACAGACTTAATCAAAGCAGCTTCTGCTCTGAAATGCACACTTACCTCATTCTGTAAAAGTTTTACTTTTCTAAATGTTTCCATAATATGTTGGTAGAAAATAGTGACATGCAATATTTTATTCATTTTCCTTGACAGGAGCTAGAAATGTGTATCACCAGTTATTCATGAGCAGTCTACTTATGGATTTGAAATACAAGAAACTTTTTGCTATCCGCTTTGCAAGAGTAAGTATCTTTCTTACAAAGAGCCATTAAATGCTTAAACTGTCTAGCGAAGAGAGTTTAGTTAGCATACAGTGCTTCAAATGAACTGTTATCCAGAATTTTTTTCCTTTTTTTGGAAGTGAAAAATTGAAATAAAATGCTGACTACCTTATTTCTGTCTTCAAAATATTAGTTATAAAGGCATCTCGTCTCCTGAGAAAAAAATGGGCTTTCCAGGCTCCCCAGAACTAAAGCAGTTCAGATGTTTTTGTCTTCACCGTCAACTATGCAGGCTGTCACTTCTTAAGAGCTAATCGCTTCTCATTGTTGAGTAAGCTGTTACAGCACTACTCAGAAATAGTGCTGAACTTCAGTTATGCTGATTATTCTTTCTGCAGTAACTAGTATTTGAAATGCTTTAAATCAGCACTGCAAAATTCTGCTCACTCTGCTGAAGACAAGTAACTTTTTTGAGTAGAAAATAAAATATTAGCCTTTATTGTGAAAATGAGAGTGAGTAAATCTCATGTGTGAGCAGATTAAGTTGTCATGTTCTTTGTACAAAATACCTATATAATAATCCATAAGAGCTACTTTTCTCTTTATCATGGCATTAAAGTTTCCCAGAGCAGACATTTAAATTAAAAAATCAGGTCAGTGTGGATTAGAGGTGAATTTCCCCTTGTTGTTTAGAATTACCGGCAGTTGCAGAGAGATTATATGGAGGATGATCACGAACGGGCAGTATCGGTGGCTGCTCTGTCTGTCCAACTCTTCACTGTACCTACTCTGGTGAGTAGTACCTGTCTTTCTTTTAAAAACTGATAGTTGGCACTCCTTGCCTTTTTTTGCCTCCTTCTTAATAGAACTATGAGCGATTGCAGAGTGATTTTATGAAAGATGACCACGACAGAGAGTTCTCAATTGCTGACCTCTCGATACAGATATTCACAGTGCCTTCTCTTGTAAGTACTAAAAGACCAAAAAAGGAAATCTTTATTTGTTAAAAGCCACTCAAGGTTCATGAATGAAGACTGCAGATTTCTTTAACGTTACTGTGGAAATGCAGGGCACTGCTGCGGCACAGCAGTCAGACTGTTTACATACATTGCAATGGGTTTAGAAGTTAAAGAGTTCAGCATTGCAAAGTTTGAGTCTGACTTCCCAGAGCAGGCTGCGTACTTTTGATTTTTCTTTTTACATTTTTCTTTTACTTTTTTTAGAAAGGTACTTAAATGTTGATTTAGAGACAAACATGTAACATTTAAATTCCTCATCATAATGAGCCACAGTTACCGTTTGTAGAAATCTACGTTATGGTTTGCATATCACAGTTTCAGAGCATACCATTCTAGTGCAGTTTTATAAGTCATCCAAGTTATGTTAATTTTCCAGTCAGCACAAGTGCAAGCAGGAATTGTCTCATGGTATTCCCTACTTCCTTTAGTACTTCCAGACTCGGATGATGCCTTCTTTCAGGTTTCCAGTTAATTTTTGTTACAGTGCTTCATGCACTGTTACTTCTCCCAGCTCACAACTCCTGCTGGTCTTTCACCAGCTTATGCTTGTTTGGGAAACATCTTTTTTTGCTCCAGTCTCCAAATAAGTCTGTGTTTGCTTGTGTAACAAACTTAGACTAGTTAAACTTTGGGGCTGTACTGGAAATAAAAGTCTGATTTTCATAGCCAGAATTGTTTTTTAAAAATGAATGCTTCTGAATCCTTCCGAATTGAATCAGCTTAATTGAGCTCTAAAATTCAGTAGTAGCATGGCAGTTATGATACTGAGCAAAGTTGTTTTTCAGTTTCCTAGGGGTAGATATTATTCATGGGAATTTGACAGGACCTCAGGATTTTGTTTCCATGGTTCAGTGCAATATTGTGTTACTGCTTTTAATTTTGATGCTGTCAGTAAGAGTGTTACCAATATTCAGACGTAACAGTTAGACTTAACAAGTAGTATTATTCAAATGGTTATGGTATTGTTCTTTCCTTTGGCAGGTGGGCTGGTGGAATATGCGTGTTAATACTTTTTTATTTTTTAAAAGGAATTTGATACATTTCCTTGGAGGAGAATAATTGCAGTGTCCCTTCTACATGTTTTCTATTTCAAAAGCATGTGGAAAAAAAAGTAAAGCAAATTGGTTTTGACTATTTTGTAGAAGGATGGAATAGACTGATGATGTGAAAGTAATTATGATAAGCTCCTACCATATGAATTATTTTTTATATATTTAGAGCCATTCATTCTTAACTGAGTGAATAAGTTGAAGAATGTAAAACCACCCCACTGCTCCCCAGTAACATTTTCAAACTGATCTTGGTAATTTAAGAGTTTGAGCTCTCAAGTAACTGAGGTTTTTTGGTTTGAGGGAGGATGAGTGGTTGTGTTGGTGGTGATTTTTTGGGAGAAAATGTTAACCATTAAATTCTTTATTCACACCCCCGTAGCATTTTACAAACTGTATTTTGGAGTATCATTAGCAACTGTAGAACCCAGAAAGTCTAGTCAACAACCACAGTGTCATTGAGGTAGATCAGAGTGGCCAATCTTCTTGAATCTACCAGCCACATAATAAAGTCCTCATGAGATCTGAGAACTGTAGCACTCATCCCATTTACCTTGAGTGGGGTAACCAACAGAATGGGGGAGTTCTGGAAGAGCTCACAAGTAGGAGATGGCAGTAACTTCTTAGCACCCCCTACTCTCTTGTAGGGTTGGGTTAGGTTAGGTTGGGTGTGGAAGGTGATCTTCACCAGAATTTGCAATGCCTGTTGATTTGTTTCCTACAACACATGGATATATGCAGTAGCCCTTGAGGGGAATCCTGAGTCATTTCACATAATTTCCGTGTGGAAATTGCACTGTACATTTCTTTAGCAGTTCAGAAGACACTCTGTTCACCACAGTGCTTGACAGTTTATAAACAGAAAACAGAAGAGCTGTCACTCCCTTAAAGGGCTCATACTGAAATTATATGAGAGGAGACAAAACATACTTAAAGGGAGGTACAAGTTAATTATAAGACACAAAATAACATATGTCTTGTGTCGTAATTATACAGGTTAGCAGGAACCTAACCATAGTCAAACTTCTGTACAGAAGGGATCTGAAGAAAGAGATCTGGATTATGATAATTTCTGACTAGATTACTTTTTTTCTTCTGTGAATGTTTGGAAGATTGGCTTTCCATATGTTCTTCTGTTTTACTTACCAATTTAACTATTTTGGATAAAAATTCATGTATTTTATGAACTTCATGGTGCAGTGTGAAACTCTTGTTAGCTGTGTCTGTTAATTACAGCAAATTTCAATGTACTTTGGCATAGGCTCGAATGCTAATAACAGAAGAAAATCTTATGACCACTATCATCAAAACTTTCATGGACCACTTAAGACACCGTGACATCCAAGGCAGGTTTCAGTTTGAACGTTACACTGCTCTGCAGGCTTTCAAATTCAGACGTGTTCAGAGCCTTATTTTGGATCTCAAGTAAGTATATTAACTATATGCTGATTTGATCAATTGATGAGGGGAAAAAAAAAAAAAATTTAACACTTGCATCTTTCTAATGTACCCAGGTATGTGTTGATAAGTAAACCAACTGAGTGGTCAGATGACTTGAGGCACAAGTTCCTAGAGGGTTTTGATGCCTTCTTAGAATTACTCAAATGTATGCAGGTATGTAAATCTGTGAATTACAAAATTTTGCAAAATTAAAGCAGGAAATTAGCTATCATGATATAAAAATGGAAGAAATTTAATGTACTCTCCATTTTATAACTTCAGTGTGGTATAACTTTTGGAGTCATGTTTTCCTGAAACATAACATCTCACCTAACTTTTTAAAATTTAGTTTGTTGTAGAGTGCAATAAAAAGAAGAGGAGTTCAAAAAGAAAAGTGTCGTTTTGGGCATATTTCGCAGTTGTAGAGGCAGACAGGACAATTAATTGTGTGAGCACAATCTGGTCAGTCTTAACCAACTTTCCCTCATAGCGAGAGCTCCACTTACTATTTAAGTGTCAGTGGAGTTGCTCCTTGTATTGAGGAATATATAGTTCCTGACATACAAGTAGCAAGTAGACCTCCTCACTGTGGTTTGTTTTTTTTTTTTTCCCCCCAGCCTTTTCATGTGCTGTTACCTTAAGAGGAATATTTTTAAAAGCAGTGCAGCTTTTACAAGGGCAAATTGACTGTATGATCAGTGAGGTGTAAGTCAGAATCACTCCCATTTTTCAGTACTTCAGTAGCATGCCTTTCTCAGTACTTAGCTTTTGTTAGTCTGTTTCAGATGGTTCCAAGCTTCTTTTTTCCTGTTGTAGCAACAATGTATTTATAAGGACAGGTAACCACTGTCTCATGCTTCTGCTAATGTTGTTAACATATTTGAGTGATACATTGTTGAAATGCATAATTCTTTTTGTTCTAGGGTATGGATCCAATAACTCGTCAAGTAGGACAACACATAGAAATGGAACCAGAATGGGAAGCAGCATTTACATTGCAGATGAAATTAACACTTGTTATTTCAATGATGCAGGACTGGTGTGCATTAGATGTAAGTTCCTTCTGAATTGTTTTTCCATGTGAATAGGTGAAGGGGAAAAAAACCAGAACATGTGTAACAATTGAGCTAAGCACATAACTGCACTGTAAGCCAAGATCATCTTCCCTAAGCAAATGCAGATCTTTCCTGTATTTAAACACATCTTTTATGGCTTGAACTGACCAATTCATAAGGATGTGGTTAAACTGTTTAAAAATATTGCGGAGAGAGTTCTGTCACACATCTGAAAGTTGTGATCATCACAACGTTATCAGGTTATAATTTTCAGAGAAGAGGGAATAGACGAGTAGGCCCTGGATCTACCAGATGCTGCCTGATTAGAAATCAGGTTTCTATTCCTTAAGTGTTTCAAGTTTTAGGAGTATAGAACTTCAGCGTGGTAAAATGTGGCTGTGGTACCAAGTGATCCTAGAATATTTGGACATTCAAGCTGGCTTTAATTTGTCACTGTTAGTTAACGTGGAGGTTTTACTAGCTTAGCATGATCATTGCTCAGAAAGTTCTCATATCAGTTTAAGAAAAAATACTAGTGGGTGTTTGTCTAATCAGTCATAGGGGTGTGAGTTTTGCAATCTGTGCCCCCTTTAATGCAGCTCCTTTCGTTGGATTCCTTATCGTAATTTTATAGGACTGTTAATAGAGGTAAAAACCCCAAACCTGTCAGACTTTTTTGTTGACTGTGTTATTTTGCGGAGCTATGGTTTTTTTGTAATCGCTGTAAACTGTGTTCTTTCTTTTAGGAAAAAGTATTAATTGAAGCTTACAAGAAATGCCTAACTGTGTTGATGCAGTGTCATAGTGGTTTTACTGATGGAGAACAGCCTATTGTTCTCAGTATGTGTGGACATTCAGTTGAGACCATCAGATACTGTGTTTCTCAGGAAAAAGTTAGCATTCATCTCCCAGTTTCTCGTTTACTTGCAGGTATGAACTAGTTTAAAAATATTTCAGGAAATTGAAAACGTTGTATAAATGCGATTTGTATTTGTGTGTACATAAGGAACCACACGATGGTTGTTTAAAGCCTGAATAGGATGCATTTTGGCCATTTTTGAGCTGTCTGATAGCCTCTAGGCAAAATGTTCCCAAGCATTGGAGAAGTTGTTACTGTTTCAGGCCTGTAGGAGATTATCTCATGCCTCTGGACTTGTCAGTGGGGTGTGTTGTAGGCAGTTACTGCTGCTTTTGCCACTTGAGTGAGCAAAAGCCACTTTTTTGCCACTTGAAAAGCAACCAAATATGGACTGTAGTTGACTGTTTTGAAATATGTTTAGCTGTCAGATTGAATAGACTAATCAACATTCTGTTAGAGAACAGATTTATCAAACAGATGTGTCACTAGAAAATTAAGCTATGTCTTTCTGTTTATACTGTGTCTATCTTGTTCAACAGTTGTGTTGAAAAAAGGTTGATGAATTTTAGTTTACAGAATGAGAAAGTCATATGATAAAAATAAATTCACAGGTAATGAAGTGAAAAAAAGGTAATTCTTAGATATGCAGCTCAGCATCAAGTGACTTTGAATGTTGGAATCTTTAAGCAAAACCTTTAGAGCTTTAAAATAAAGCCAACCAGAAAACCCTTATGTATTTTATAGGGGCCTTATTATAGTTCTTGAGGTATTTTATAAACCTGTAAGGACTAATAGAAAGGATGAGTTATCTATTGTTAATAATTTGTCCTAATAGACCAAGGACTCCTGGCTGTTGCTGAGAGGAAATGACAGAGTCAAAAGAAAGGCAAAAATCTCACTTGTACTGCAAATTTTGTACAGATACAATGGGAAAACTTTAATTCTCCTAAAATGTATGCTTTGAATACGTCTCATTGGAAAATGGCTGGCTAACTCCAGGGTAATAAATATGCAGACTTACTTGTAGCTGTGTCCAGAACATGGTCCGACAGTAAATTAGATGACCTTTTTTGTCATATTTGAATTGTATAAAGTATTGTGTGTAATATTATGTATGTATTTGTTTCATGTATTTATGTAGGCTTGCATGTTTTGCTGAGTAAAACTGAAGTGGCATATAAGTTTCCAGAGCTGCTACCCCTGGTATGTAATTACATGTAGCATATCCATTAAATATAATTAATGCTGAATGTGAAATTGGTCGTGTAAGTGTAAGATATTATTAAATAAAACAAAGGACCTTTTTGCTATGAATTCTGTTCAGAGAGACTATCTTTATTAGATAAAATTGCTTCTTAAAAGGTTAGTATCTAGATATTAGTGACTGAAGCGTAAGCAATCAGTATTGCTCTCTTAAGTAACTTAAGGCTCAGGTTTAAGGTTTGTATTTTGTTCCTCATGCATTACCTTCTTTTTGTAGTAGAAACTGTTTTTAGAAACTCCTGGCAGGATCTGATTCCTTCTCCTTAGCCTAGGTTCTAGTTTTCTTCCTCAGGTGTTTCTTGCTTCCTGCATGTTCTTACTGATACGCTGTTTCTTTAAGGGGAAGTTAAAAAGAATAAGATAAATTGAAAGAGGAGAAAACATAAGTTGGGGAAGAAATCTCAGTGTCTTTTGAAAGAAGTACTTAACCTTTGAATGAAAGAAAGTGAATGACAATGTTATTAAATTGATCGTGTTGATGTTTTAAAATACAAAACCTACTGTTTTAAGAATAAAATAAAGTGCTTGTGGAGTACTTCTGTGAAGCAAAGACAGAATGTAAGGTGGTTAACAATGATTGGAATGATTGTGAATAGGCTCATCAAACTTCTGTAATATGTGTGTTGGATTTGCTTCTCTTCTGTATTGCCAAAATATTTTAATGATCACAAATACCATCCTCCTTCATTTCGGTTGTATTTTTTTATTTTCTCTGTATATATCAAAATATTGCATTTTCTTAATGCAGAGTGAACTTAGCCCACCTATGTTAATAGAACATCCTCTACGATGCCTAGTCCTGTGTGCCCAAGTACATGCAGGGATGTGGAGAAGAAATGGGTTCTCTCTTGTTAATCAGGTAAGTACATAGTAGCTGTACAATCACTGTTTTCTGATAACTCCCCCAAGATCATTTTTGACCTCAAAACCTCCCCTTTCTGTATTCATTTTAAATTTCATTTACATAAATCCTATGGAAGGCAATACGAGGTAGGTATTTATATCAGCACTCACATAATTTGAATATTTGTGCTTTTAAATTGGTCTTTGATTTCTTAGTCAGAAGTTGCTTTTTTGTTTCAGGATTGCTACAGCACTCAGTGAACTTAGTGCTCTGTGCATAAAGAAGTTTTAGTATAATGCAGTTAACGACTCCTAGCCTTTTTACAGTATACTGTTCAGCAACAGCATGAAGTGCAGAATTAGATCTGTGCATCTTTGGTAATGCATTCATTACATTCACATAAAAGCGTCTCAAATATAAAAATATACACCATTAAGATGTTATTACTATTTATGTTGATAAAGTAATTGAAATCTGAAGACCACGCAGAAGCTTTAGAACCAGCATAGAACTGAATGTTTCTTGGCTTTTCTCTCTTGTACTTCTTTCATACTTCTGGAGACTAGCTCCATCCATCTCTAAACTTATGTTCTCTGTTTGTACAAATTAGATCTCAGGTGTTTCAAGCATAACAACTATAAAATGGGCACTGTAGTGTCAGTGCCACCCACCAGGGTGACTGTCTGAAGTGATTTTCTCAGCCAGACATAGATTACAACAGAAATAGGGTTTAGTTCTGTGAGATGTTAACTTGATTTATTTACAAGAAACTTCTTTCTCTCCCATAAGCCCTCATCTTCACTAGATAATTGCGATGCATGTGTACTAGGAGGCTGAATTAAGCTGCTCAAACGTACCGTATTCTGACACTTCTTGCTCTTAACCTAAAGGACCTTTATACAGTGATGTCCTTTATTGTCATTATTAAAGCGAAAGGAACTCTAGTTATGTACAATTATAGCAGCACCCATATTACTGTAGACACTCATCAAATATGAAATTTCAGCATAGCTTTTGATTGAGCAATAATTCTCTGTGTTAGTTTCCCCTGGTTGTCAGCATCTTGAAGTTAAGCACCAGGTTTAGTTTAGGTAATACAACTCGCACAGCCTGGAAGTCCTTTCTCTTTCCTTTAGCTACGGAGAGCTTAAGTTCAGCTCCTTTGGATATTTTCTCAGAAGATAGGAATGGGCATCACTGTATGTGGATTGTTAGTGTAGGGAAGAGAGGGAAGGCATGCCTAGCTCTTTTCCATGTAATGCTGGTGAGAAATGATGTGTCTCTAGAGGAAAGTTTAGCACGCTGAAGGTTGTTCTCAGTCCCAGGTAGAAACTTTACAGCCCTCTTTATTTTTCCTTAATTGTGGTAGAATCAACCCTTCCCCAGTTTCAGTGCCATGCAGTGATTGCAGTGTTGCTGCTGCTTGATGTGGTACTGTTGAGTTCCCTCCCAGGATGGTTTGGGTTAAGTATGTTTCTATCACAATATCAACATTTTGCTGAAACTGGCAATTCCTGAAAGATTGTATCTCAAATAATTAAAGAGCAATTAATGGAGCAAAGAAAGAACATTTCTCCAACTGCAAGGGCTTTCTTGCCTGTGAATTTCAAACAGTTGATTGCTAAACAAGTAGATATATTAAAACATAACCCAAAGAGGTCCACAAGATTTTTCCTTCTAAGTGTATGCAATCTAGACATTAGATCAATAAAACCCAGCCAGCAGCTATGCTTGCTTTGTGCTATATAAAAATGCTTTTTGCATACAAATATATTTGTATCATTTTTTTGAGATCACAGGTTCATTTTTTTTGTTTACTAATACTGTGTAACAAAGTTTATTTTTCCAGAATGAAAATAAGTTCAGATTAAATATGATGTTTTTTAATTATTATGGTTTGATTTTTTGTTTCAGATTTATTACTATCATAATGTGAAATGCAGGAGAGAGATGTTTGACAAGGACATAGTAATGCTTCAGGTAACCACATGTACCAGTTTGCATTTTTGATCAAGCATTTTCAGGATATGCGTATGTTTGGTTTTTAGCTCCATCAAAACCTTTTAATGACAAAGAAAAAAGTAAATTTTTGTGGAAGGACTTAATTTTTTTATTGTGTCTGTGTCTTTATGGGACAATTTGTAAAGGAAATACTGTTGTTGTAAACCTTGTTACTTAAATATACTGTGGAAAGCACAGAATTTTCTGTGTGACGCGTATGTAATGCTACATTTTCAAGAACGTAATATTCTAACTAATGGGTTGTGCTGTACTGGCAATTGTGCGAGTCTGCAGGTCTTCAGTAATGTACTCAATATATGTGTTGCCTCTTCTCCCTCCGTTCAAAGTTGGCATCTGAAATACTGGACAGAAAGTGGACCCCAATATAGTAGTGTTTGATTTTTATTTTTTTTTTCCTTCAGAAGAGATTTTACAAATCTGGCAATCTACTTGCTTCTGACACAGAGAGATCTGATGCATTACTTCTACATGGAGAGTGATGAAAGCTAAAATTTGCAGCTTGGGGTGCATAGTTCACCTAGACAACAAAATCTTTTCTCAGATCTGACCCAGAGTTAGCAATTCCCAATGTGATGCATATGTCCTGATTTACCTCTGCTTTCAGACTTACTTCTCTGAGGCTTGACCTGCCCCTAATTTTTAATGATCATCTGCAGCTGCCCATTTGGGTAGATATCCTTCAATTTTGTTGGAAATTATTCTGTCTTAAAAGATAGTCCTGTTAGCAATAGTAAACTAACAACAAATATTTGTAATTGGCTAACTTAGATACGTTGTTTAATAAACAGAAAAAACTTTGGCCAGTAGTGTTCAGAAATGGAAGTAAATGTTTGTGGCTGCACTGAAACATTACTATTCTTCTTTCCTTTGTTTTGAAGATTGAAATTTGTTTTTAAGATCTTTGTGTGCTATATACTAAGTGATATTATGCCTTCTAAAAGTTGAACCAGCAGGAACAGGATTGTAGAAACCAACCCAACCAACCAAAACTCTTTTATTGAATTTTATTTACAGTATTTGAGATAGAAGGAATAACCCTGAATATTTTACACTTAAAAGGGCATCAGAAATTATTGATAAAGCATAGGATCCTGCTTGTCAAATGTGCTGTCACTTGAGTTATTGGAGTCCTAAGAGAGTGAACTTAAGTAATTAAATCTTCATGCCCGGGATAGAGAGGAGTGAATTTCATAAAGAATATACTGTGAACGTTGTCTATCATTATATAAACCATGCTATAGTAACACCTAATCTGTTTTCTGTTTATAATAATTTTTTTCTTTAATAGACAGGTGTGTCTATGATGGATCCAAATCACTTCTTGATGATAATGCTGAGTCGCTTTGAACTTTATCAGATATTTAGTACTCCAGACTATGGCAAAAGATTTAGCACAGAAAATACTAACAAGGTATTTTATGTACTACTTAAATAGAAAATCTTCATTTTTGTTTTGCAAATGTTCAGATGCTGTTGTACTGAGACTGCAATTTCTTGATGAAAAAAATGAAAACCTATCATATTTTAATTTCATTTGACCAGTTTGAAATATGCATAAATATTTTTACCTGTCAAACTGGTAAATGTCAGAAACTGATGTGTAATTTTTTCATTATTCAAGAAGTTGTGATTGCATTTCAGCATAGCTTAATTTGGGAGTGCTAAGGGTGAAAACGGGCAGTGTTTTGAAGCACTGAAAAAATATTTTCAACATATGGAATAATTCTTTTACCCTTAATTGAAAAATGTAAATTCTTGTTGTTTATTTTAATTCAGGATGTTGTTCAACAGAATAACACTCTTATAGAAGAGATGCTATACCTCATTATAATGATTGTTGGTAAGTTCAGAATACATTTAATTAATTTTTAAAATTTAGTCTCTTTAATGGTCTGGCATGAGCATTCTTCATTGTCATCTCAAGTTCAGTTCTATTTTGAGCTTCCTGTAGTTCTGACTTCTTTCCAAGGAGAAAAGCCTTGAAACTAGCTTAATTAATGTAATGAATTTTTGAACACTGGTGGGTGAACACCAAGATTTCACAGAAGAGACTTATTTTCCAGTCTTTAAGTTGCAAAAGAAGAGAAGTAAATGTTGAAAATCCTAAAAAAAACCCAAAACAAAACAAAAGAAAAGCCACAAAAAAAAAAAAGGTATTTTATTTTTACAGGTGAAAGATTCAGTCCTGGAATAGGACAGGTAAATGCAACAGATGAAATCAAACGAGAGATCATCCATCAGCTAAGCATCAGGCCAATGGCTCACAGTGAATTGGTAAAGGCATTACCTGAAGATGTAAGTAACTTGGGGAGGGGACAGAAAGAAGCTTCCTCTTTATAGGACTGATTGCTGAAAATTTTTCTTGTGCAAATTTATGCCGCTTAATGTGGAATGGGAGCAGCATGATTATGCTAAGAGCAAGGTTAGCATGAGTACAGATTAATCATTGTCATGGAGAAGGTAGGAAAGAGCTATAGAAGAAGAAACAACATATGAAAGAAGCAGGAGCCTGAGAGCTGCTTCAGCTCTTTTCTCTTTTTAATACTGTTTCGTATCAGGCCATCTTGCCGGCAGTCTCTGCACTCTGCTTGTAAACCCTGAATAGATGTATGGAAGTGGGTTGCTGGAACTATCCAGAAATATAAGCTGTTATATTTTAAAGCTTAACAATAATTGAAAAGACATGGAATGAGACACAGTATAACTATTTGTGTAACATAAATGCTTCATTTGCATGGACAGAAGCATTTATCTGAATTCTGGTATGAGTGGTTTTATGATAGCAAAGCTTTTTTTTTTCTTAAGAATATTTTTGAAGTAATTTTTAATTTCCAAAGGCAGTCAAAATTCAAAAGTTAGTCTTTTACTATACTGGTAGTACTTTTAATGATAAATTCAGAAATATTTTTAATTGTTCTAAATAGTTTAAACTTAAACAATTTGAAAAGTCAGATTTTAGGCTAGCATTATGATTTTTTAAAAATAATTTAAAGCTGGATGAAAGAACAAACTAGGATTTAAGCTAGAGTTCTAAATTGTATTGTCAGTCTTAAATAGTCTTTCCCTGGCCTGTTAACTGCTGTGAATATGTGTTGCAGGAAGGGGATGAAAATATGAAAAAGGTAATTTGTGTACAAAGTAGCGTTACGTATTTGAACTGATTTCTCCTGCTGCATTTTGTGGTTGTTTTACCATTTTTTGGTGGCCTCTCTTTTTAGCTTTCCTATATTTATTTCCTTTTAAAGGCCTAGAAACCAGAAATGTTGACTGTATATTCCTAAGGTACACAGAATAAACCAACTTAGAGTTTTCTTCTGTTACTGTTACATCCAAGTTTATTATGACAGGGAAAAACAGTAAAAATTAAGTACTTCAAATGGCATAATTTTTTTAAAAATGCTTTTTGCGGAGATGGTATTCCTGAGTGTATTGTCATGTTACACGCTTTAACATTCTCTTGAGTGCCTGTAAAACTTTGTACTACATTTGTTTTGCATACTTATCTAATGTTCTGTGATACTTGAATGTGTTTAATCCAAGAACTACAGTGTCTTGCCTTTTCACTCAATGTAGGAGAACAGAGAGACAGGAATGGAAAGTGTGATTGAAGAAGTGGCATGTTTCAAGTATGTTTCCCTTTATTCTAATATTTCCATTTTCCATTAAAAATGGAATATCTAAATTAGTGAAAATGAGAGAATAGAAGAAAGAGGGCTGGGTCATGGTGTTTTCCCATGGCTTTACTCATGTGCGTCACTGTTAATACTGTTACTTATTTGATTTCTAGAATGCCTACTGAGCAGTGTTTTTCAGCTGTTCCAGTTAACCGTTTATGCTCAGATGTTAATAACCAATGAACATAACTGGGTTTTTTTGGTTTTGTTTTTGTGGGTTTGGTGGGGTGTGGGTTTTGTTGTTTGTTGTTTGTTTGTTTTTGTGTTGTGTTTTGTTTTTTTTTTTTGTAGGAAACCTGGATTAACAGGGAGAGGGCTGTATGAATTAAAACCAGAATGTGCCAGGAACTTCAATCTGTATTTCTATCACTTTTCAAGGGCAGAGCAATCAAAGGTAACCAGTAACTTAACTTTCTGAGTTTTTTTTTGTGTCTTTTTTGGCTTACTTTTTTCCAAAGCTTAATTCTGTGAAGAAGTATTATCAGCTGGTTAAAAGTTAACTTTTAAAAGTTAACTTACTTGAGAATGTTAACAAAATTTACCCAGGATTCTGCAGTGCTTTCTGTCCCATTGGATCCTGTGCCCTATACAGAGCTGCTGAAATCAGTTGGCCTTCAGGAGCTTGTCTGTGGGTTCTCCTAAGTCTTATTTTACTGAAGGTATTTAGACAATCTGTATTTTTGCTTACCTTTATGGAAATTACCATTTTAGCTGAGACTTGTCTTATGTTTTTGTGCTATAAAAAGAATCCAGGCTGGCTCAAAATGAAAGATTAATTGTGAAGATGCATGCCCTACTTTACGAGTGAAATATAAGACAAACTGAAAAGAAATGGAAGCATTCTTGTTTTATTTAAGGCTGGGAAAAAGGGGGAAAAGTAGTAACAATGTCATAAAGCATGAATGCTTTTTAATTAGCTTTTTATTTGTACAGGTTTTGAGTAATATTGGCATTATTCTTATTTCAGGCGGAGGAAGCACAAAGAAAGCTGAAGAGACAGAACAGAGAAGATACAGGTATTTCTCTTTGAGAGAAGGTGGGAAAGAGGGAAGCACCTATCAACCTGTGTATTGCCCCGACACTTTGACTAACATCCTGTTCTTGAGCTAACCAGAAATTGGTTGAAAATGTAGCAATTCCCTTATGTCTCCCTGGTTATACAGGAGCCTGATCCATTGTGGAACCAGCCTACTGAACGCCTTATTCCTTTGGCTTTTCTGTTGCATGCAAGCCACGTTGAATGTCACAGCCTGTTGTCTGTAATACTGTTTATCAAGCAACTGTATACTGTCTTGGGTTAAACTGTTAAGCTGTTTGAAAGTCAGACATTTTATATGAGTGTTGCAAATTTTAGAGATGCTGAAATGTCAAGCACACAAATTTCCCTTTCAGCACTTCCACCACCAGCTCTTCCTCCTTTCTGCCCACTTTTTGCAAGTCTGGTTAATATTCTACAATCTGATGTCATGCTGTGCATTATGAGAACTATACTGCAGTGGGCAGTAGAACACAATGGCTATGCCTGGTCAGAGTCCATGCTGCAAAGGGTATGTTTCCTTATTTAAAATTATGCTTATGCTAAAGGAAAGAATATCTATTTTAGCATTTTAACATGGGTTTGTAGATTTGGGTTGTTTACTTGATATCTAACATATCCAGAATACTCTGAGTGAGAAATAAATAGTGTTTTGTGATACCCAAGACTAGGGAAACCTGTCTGTCTCCAATGCAATTTATTTTTAAAAGTGAGTGGAAAACAAAGGTAAATTTCTAATGGGATGCACATGAGAGGGAGGAATTCTGCTTGAATCAGTTGAAATATTGTTTATTGTGCTAGAGAACCAGTTTATCTGCATATCTTATATGCATATCCTGCATATTAAGTGAAGCACATTGACTTTTTCTTGATGTTCCTTTGCTTATTTTCAGTTTAGGCTAAATCACTTTAGAAAAAAAATCGTAAAAGATTTTTTTTTTACATACAGAAAATAATTTTCTAACTTGAGAATTTGTATCAGCTCTGGGAAATTCAACTGAGCTGTTTGTTTCTCACTATTTATAATGATCTTTAGAAACCTGGAGGGTTACTGTAGATTTTGTTGTCCATGGTGGTAATTTTCTGGGGTGTGCAGCGATAAGTGGTGAACTGCCATGAAAAGACTATTCATATTGGTCAGGGTTGTTGGTTTAGTGTTCAAACACAAACTTTTCAAAAATATTGATGGATTTTTAAATAACATTTTGCAGTGAAACCCCAGCTTTGAAACTGAGTATTAATTTTTTTACATTCAGTCTTATTGAGTGTGTATTACCTTTTATAGCTGAGTTTAATTTACCATAAGCAATTCTGTATAACACAAAGTTGAAAATGGAGCAATATATCAGTATGATAAATCGCAACAAAAATCGAATAATGTAGTTACATTTAGGTAATGTGAGAATGCTAGGCTTTAGAATAACTGTTTGAATAGAATAAGATTTAATTTTTGTTTTTATTTTTTTTGAAACTAAACTAAAACATGCTCAGCCATTTGAGTACCTCTATGTTGCTTTCCAAAATGTGCAGTTCATCAGGGACCTGTCACTTGCTCAGAAACTCATGGTACTTTGTGTTCACTGGTGCCATGCGGTTGGAATGCATCTTTCCCAAGTCAACCACTCTTGTCTTGGAAACAGCATGCAAAGGATGATATGAGGCATCTGGAAGAGGTGGCCCATATCTGATGAGACCCTGTTAGGTAGATGTGGTAGACTGTTACTAATTAAAACAAAATAAAAAAACTTCAAGACTCTAAGCATCTACAGAAAAAGTGGTAAAACCTGATTTGACTGTTACATTCCAGTTCTGCTACAGATTTTCCGGTGATTATCCTTTCCTTATATGGGTTTCAGCATTGATTCCAGGCATTCAGTAATGCTTTTTGTCTGCAGCATCCTGCCAATTTGTATGGGGTAGCAAAAGTGGTTGATTCAGCATGACAGAGTTCACCACCAAGATTTAAGTATTTCAGCTTTAAAATGCCATTCAGACTATTTTAGTGCCAAATAGGGTAATTTCAGTTTTTAAATTCAAGGAATTTACAGCTTTTTACTGACCTAAAGGTTAACATTATTTTAAAATGTGTTTCCAGCGTGTTAGAATAAATCTAGTTTAATAATTTTAACTTTTGTCAGTTAAATTTTGTCAGTAAAAAAGATTTAAAGTGTGCATCATGCTTCTGTCCAGAGACTTGGGATAATAACATGCAATTACTAGGGAGAAAGCTAAAAAGCACTGACTTGTCACTCACTAGACAGGACAGCAGACAGAAAGATAGAAGTGGTATAATGTGTCCTTTATCTGACAGAGTTTCAAGAATTTGTAAACAAACACTGTTACTCCTGTGTAGTGTAACTTTGGAATTATGTATATAGAAATAATTTCTTTTTATATAATTTTATTGTGTGACTTTCTTGTCTTTTAATGAATTACCTAAACTATGTAAAGATATTATATGAATTATTTAAGAAACAAGAATTTATAATTTTTATCTAGGTTTTGCATTTGCTTGGTATGGCACTACAAGAAGAAAAACAACATTTGGAGAATCTCAGTGAGGAGAATGTTGTAACATTTACCTTCACTCAGAAGTTATCAAGTATGCCTTTCTTTTCAAATGTATAGCAAATTTTAAATAACTGAAAATGCAAGTATCTCATATTTTGTTCTTCTGAAACAGTATTTACCAGAAGAGTGTATTTGTTTATCCATCAAAATTTTACCAAGTTGACTATACAAATGTGCTTTACGTATGTGTAGATTCTATGGTAGTAGAAATACTAAAGCCCTTTTCTAGAGAAGAAATCCAAAAGTTTAATAATTCCCAGTAAATCTGAATCTTAATGTCTTTAGTGTCTCAGCAAAGATTGCTGTACATGATCACATGCTACAATTGCAAAAACTGTAGTTGCGTTCTTAAGTGGTCTTTTAATCTTGATGCTCCTTTGTATCTTCTGACCTAGTGCCTCTAGTTTTGCTAAGATATAAAAGTTGCTAAGACTCTTCCATTTTAAAATAAGTGGGAAATAAAATGTTGGAAGTTCTACAGGACAGGTCCCAAGATGAAAACAGCCAGGGAGCATATACAGTGCACTTATCTTGTATGAAAAATATAGTCAGTGAGCAAGACTTTTAAGACTATTTCCTCTAACTTTTCAGGATTTAGAGGGTATTCATGAGAATGTTTGTGGAGGGGGAAATGAAAGTTACATATTATGCCTATTTGTTGAAGGAATTCTTCAGTTGCTGAACATACACAAGCGTTGTTTTTTGTTGTTTTTAATGTTAACAAATGGTTAGTTTGTCAGGTAATGGTATAATCAATTGTCATCGTAATTTTTTCTCAGGACCAGGAGAGGCACCCAGTAATTCCCCTAGTATACTCGCTATGCTAGAAACTCTGCAAAACGCACCTCATCTGGAAGTGCACAAGGACATGATCAGGTGGATATTGAAGGTAAATCTATTTTGTACAGCTGCCGAAAAGCATGGAAAGAGGATTTCTGAAACTTTCCTAATTATATTGTGATGACTTCCTTATTTCCCATGTTGATTTGTTGTACCTTCTTTTTTCCCCTTCTGGAATCCAATGCTGTGCATTATCTGGCCAGCATTATGGTATTCGCATTTATATTTGCATGTCACAATCAAATTAAGTGTTGTTTTTTTTTTCTTACAGACTTTTAATACTATTAAGAAACTAAGAGAAAGCTCTTCTACAAGTCCTGTGGCCGAGACAGAAGGAAATATTATGGAGGAGGTAAAAGCAAGCTGTAACAGTTAGTTGATCTGGAACAGGTCTGGATTGTGACTAGCAAAGGACTATATTTCTAATTGCAACTCTAAATCAAAGATGGGAAACATCAGTGATTTCCGAAATTCTGTCTCTCAGCTTATAGATCAAATCCGTTTGTTTGAAAGACCTAATTGGGAGAGTCCCTGGACTATTTTTCTTTGCTCTATATGTTGTAATCTCCACATCTTTTGCAAGTTTACTTGTTAGAACTGTTTGTAGTACTGATCACGGCATTTGATAGTTCTGTTCTTCCCATAATTTCGAACTCCTTGGAAAGTTAAGAGAAATGGTGTCTATGTATTTTTACCATGCAGGTCGTTCCAGGTAGACTCTGCTGATGTCTGTTGATACGACATTCTAGGTACTACACAAAGACCTTGGAGCACTGTAGTGCATTTAGGAATACAGCTAACGTGGGAAGAGCAGCAGTAGAGGGGAGACGTGTCACTTACGTTTTTATCTTATGAATGCTCGAAGGGAAGAGAAAAACAAAATACAGTTAAAGGTTGAGGGGGAGAGATACCCTTCTTGATCTTCAGTTCTACCTGGCATTGAACATGAGCTAAAGAAAAAAGGGCACAAAATAACTTTTTGATAGACTTTTGTCTTTTTATGAGATTTTCATTGTTTGGAGGTTAGTACAAGATACACATAGCAGTAACTAAAATAAATTGTCTGTTGCAAGATTTTTAAAATATCTGAGTGAACAATGCAATTTCAGAGTTCACGTGATAAAGACAAAGCTGAAAGGAAGCGAAAAGCTGAGATTGCCAGATTGCGCAGGGAAAAGATCATGGCCCAGATGTCTGAAATGCAACGGCACTTCATTAATGAAAACAAAGAACTCTTTCAGCAAACTTTGGAGGAACTAGATACTTCAACCTCTGGAGTACATGAAAATAGGTAAAGGAATCTTGTTTAAATTTTTTTCCTTTAACTTTTACCTCAGATTTCGTATTGTTACTGCCTAGAGCATTTTTTTAGTCTTGATAGAAAACTATTTATAAGTTTCTGAATCCAAAAAAGCAGCAGTAAATGGAATGCTCTCGTCCCCCTTTCTGACAAGATGATGGGATAAATATGATTCCTCCTTCATCCCATCCTCATAGTGCTTAACAGAAAGAGGCAAATAATTTTTTCTATGAAATCATCCAGGAAATTATTAATAATACTGAAGAGACTATGCTATTAAACATAGTAAATTGGAAATATCTAATTATGTGTCTATTGAGGATCTGAAAGAAAATCTGCTTGTTGCTGGAAATATGAATTGAAGCATGCTAATGATTTTGTGGGGAAGTGGAGAGTGTTTTCAGAATTTATGTCAGGCACTTAAGGGTGGTGATGGAGGGTTGCAGATGGAGTTTCTGTGTTGAACTGGAGTGGGTAGTACTATTGGGAGGGTATGAATTTTTTCTGGAAAATGTGTTCTGTTCCTGGGGACATAGGTATTGTTGTATAAATTGCAAAACTATTTTTTGCCAGGGAGCATTTATCATAAAGCTAGAAAGCTTATTAATCACACTTAAATCATGATCTGATTTGTAATGTTTTTCAAATAATTTGCTCACTAGTATCCTTTGAATATTCTAGCCCTGTAATTTCAGATGCAAAACTCACAGCCTTGGGACCAGAGCAAACTAGAGTAGCAGAACACAGACAGGTTGTTATGTGTATATTATGTCAGGAGGAGCAAGAAGTTAAAGTGGACAGCAGGGCTATGGTCTTGGCAGCATTTATTCAACGATCAACTGTGTTGTCTAAAAATAGAAACAAAATTGCTCCGGACCCTGGTAAGTAGTGTTCATAGTTGTCTTTAATATTAATGAATGTCGGAGTCACTGTGACAACCACATGCTTTCTTTTGAGACAGTGGCATCACCTTCTTATGTTAACTGTGTAATTGTGAATGGTTTCATTGTAATCGATGGCAAAACTCACATAATTTTAGTGAGGTAGAAATGTGTGTTCTAAAGCATTATCTAAATATTCTGCCAGCCGTTCATGACAAATTATTTGTAACTGTTAAAAAAACCTTTAAAATCAGAAGTTTGTTCTTAAACTACACCTGTAACATTATAGAGAGAGGAGGTGTTGATGTAGTGCTGTAAAAGCACAAGATAGATGTTTTCTTCCTTTCAGTTATATGATCTGAAACGCCTTTTAGCAATAATAATAAATGCTTGGATTTAGGTAACGTTGTGAAACAGATCACAATGATCAGTGGCATTGTTACAAAGGTTTCTCTGGATTCTCTATATGTAAACACATGGAAAATTTCTGCACTGAATCATTTTGCACTCTCACTGTGAGGATTAATGTTCTTAGACTCGTTATTTAATGGTACCAAACCACCAAAACCGCAGGTAGGTCTTGGGGGGCTTTTACCAGGGCCCAGCACCTCCGAGAGCTTGGTTTGAAGTCTAAGTACAGTACATAGGCTCAAAACAAAATGACATGATACTTGTAAATTATGTAAGCAGTTTAAGTTGTTGTGGATTAGTAATATTTTTTATGCTTCATCAAATGAGTTATACTTTTGTGATAAAGTTTAATAGTAACGCAAATGTGGTAACATTTATCTGCAGTTGTCTTTTGCTAAATGTTTATTTCAAAGTTGTTTTGTTTTATTTTAAATACAGAAAAGTATGACCCACTATTCATGCACCCAGATCTGTCATGTGGAACACACACGGGTAGCTGTGGACATATTATGCATGCTCATTGTTGGCAAAGGTAAAAAGCTACATTTAAGTTTTCAGTCCCAGTAGCATGTCATGCCATCAGTTTGCCTAATGGCACTGATTTTAATGGCAAAATTACTATCATGTAGCAAACTTAAAAAGGAACTTCATGAAGCAATTAAAACAGCTTTCTTTTTTGGGGAAAAAATAGAAATCATTATAATAAATACTGTAAACCTGTTCAAAATAATTTTCATTTACTATCTGTCATCATGGTGAAGAAGAATCCAAAGCCACACATGGCAGCTTTCATTCCCCTTGGTTGTTTATCCCGATGCATAATCCCCTGTGGTGCACATATATTCGAACATTGGAGCTCAGATTTTTTGAGGTTTTTTGCAGTTCACTAATAGATATGTTCCTGCTCCTTCTTGTGCTCTGTACTGAAGTTTTAAATGACAGTGCATCCCTTGCACTGTTAATTCCTCCATTGTGTTTAATTTGAAGTAGAAACATCTGTGACCCAGTTCAAGTTCATCTTCAGCATAAACTCAATTTTATCCTTTGTTCTTAGGTTGTGGGTTTTTTTATAAAACCTTTTTCAGTTATTTTTATTCTTTCATTTTTGAAGGGGGATAAACGTGCTTAGTGCTGTGTGGTGCCAATGCCATGTGACAAATGCAAACTATTCAAGCCTCTGACTTCAACTAGGCCCTCGCTTTGGTCCTTGGCATGGCTCCTGAGGTGCCTGATTTCAAATTCTGCCTTGTGTGTGTGAAGATTATGTTAGGAGCTCCCAGAGATTCTGTGGCCATAACCATGTGCAGGTTTCATTTCTGGTCTTTGATATCGCAGCTCACTGAAGATGTGTTCTTCATCTTCTTGTGTAGCTCGCGTACGATCCTGTGTGGTTGCCATTAACTCTTGGAAGCATCCTTAGATGCCTGTATTCAGACTATTTTTGGCTCATTGTCAAGCACGCTTTAAACCATCCCAGAGGCTTCTGGAGTAGCAGTTACTTTTAGCAAAGCAGTGAATTCAGTTCTCTTTCATATGGGATTTGGAGACCAGCCACCAGTTTTTCCAGTTGTTGCTGTGTTGTGGCCTGTGATGGAATATGCAGGTGGATAATGCTCATGGCGTCTCCCTTAAAATTTGATGTAAAACTGAGTAATTTTTTTAAAAATCCTTGAACTTTCTCTCTGCCTCTTCCCCGTACCCTTTTTTTCCTAAATGAAAATTGTTAACGTTCAGACTTAAACGTGATTGTTACAACCCAGTGAACTTCATCACTTCGGGGTATTTTGGCTGCCAAAAACTGGGGATAGCCTGCAGTTAGTAATATTTTATCAGTCAGAGGGTAGAGTTTTTTCCTTAAGATAATTCTCTTATCTATATATGGGAAAAGCCAAAATAGTGTCATCTTGAGAATTCATGAATTTATATGTTAGTGTTTTTTGATAATTTTCCACTAATATCTTTTTCTTTTCTAAAGGTATTTTGATGCTGTCCAAGCGAAAGAGCAACGAAGACAACAAAGATTACGAGTACACACAAGTTACGATGTAGAAAATGGTGAATTCCTCTGCCCGCTTTGCGAGTGCTTAAGCAACACCGTTATTCCTCTGCTTCCTCCACCAAGAGTTTTGTTTAACAGGTCTGTTTGCTTTATAAATGTCCTCAATAAATGTAAAAAACAAAATCCCAAACAAGCCATACCCCGAAAAACCCTTTCAAAATGCTTATTATCTTCTGTTTTCATAATCTCAAATGAATTGCTTGCCTGCTTATTTTGGTTTATGGACCTTCCTTCGTTATTGTATAGTATGGAATTTAGAGTATGAAAGGACAGTAAAGTGTAGGGCCTGCAGGAAAACAACTGAACATAAATATGTGGACAGCAGAGAAAGAGCTCGTTGAGAAACAGAAGAACATGGAATGCCTATGAAATACTAATTCTGTATATAGTTTGTTTTTAACTAAAGTATGTATTCTGTTTCTATATTGTTTTTTTTTTTTTTGACAGGTTAGACTTTTCATGCCAACCAAACCTAACTCAGTGGATCAAAACAATATCCCAGCAAATAAAAGCGCTCTATTTATTTCGAGATGAAGACTGTGCAGGTAAGTCTGAAGAAACATGTATATTTGTATGTGAAAATGTTACCATATTAATAGAAAAGGCCGAGTATTCTGTTTCTACCACAGTGGAGTTGACAAATGGTGGCAAAAGTGGCGAGAATAGCTTGGAATTTCAGTTTCTGGTGATGTGCTCCTGCATCTTTCTATAATGTAAAAATTATGTATAGGTTGAATAATCAGTGTTTTATTATTTCTTGTTTGTACAGGCAGTTCTGGTAATTCCGAAAAAATAGATCAGCTGCAATTACCTGAAGGATTTAGACCAGATTTCAAACCGAAGTATGTATTTACATCTTAATAAATCATTAAAAATTCGTCTTGAAATGGTAACATGAAAATAGGATGTGACTTCTGTGCCATAAGGTCTCAATAATTAAGGCAAATATATGAATTTTGCTTTAATTAGAAAAGTTGATCCTATTATTATGATGGTATTGAAGTCCAACCCACAAGTAGTAAATAATGCAGTAGAATTTCAGAGGTGGATGTGGTAAGTATATGTACAGAGAAGATGCTGCATTTTTATATATTTCGACATCAGGATTAAGCTTTGTTTCCGTTACCTGGAACTGGATGAAGGCTTCATCATTGTAGCTCAGCACTACAAGTAAAACATGAAGAAAGACTATGAAGTGGAGAGTATGTTAATATGTAATTTTAGCTATTATGACGTGTTTGTATTTGAGTCTACCCTTTCTTGACTTGAGGAGAAAGTAATAAAATTCATTACGTGGTACAGACATTTGTCTGCCAGCTGCACACAGAAATGCAAGACACCTATCCTGGCTGATGACAGATTTTGCTATCAATCACTCACAATTCTTTTAATTTAGCCTTACCTATATCATCTTTGAAGACTGGATATTCTTAACACTAAAAAATGAAATTGGTACCAGTCAAATAATCAAAAAATAATTGGGAGTGTATCTGTCATAGAAAAGAGGTTACAGAATACCAGATCCAAAGGAAGATACTGGAATTCTCACTTAAATTTTAAAAATGCAGGTGTTGGCTATGGGGTGAATGCTCATTATTAAAAGTACTATGCTGCCAGTGGAGAAAATAATGAATTAGTAATATTGTTTTCTTTGATCAGGAATCCTTATTCTGAGAGTATAAAAGAGATGTTGACAACTTTTGGTACGGCAACATACAAAGTAGGCTTGAAGGTTCATCCAAATGAAGAAGATCCACGTGTACCTATAATGTGCTGGGGAAGCTGTGCTTACACGATACAGACTATAGGTACTAACGTATTCCTTTTGCTCCTTTATATGTGAATTTCAGACTTTAGTTAAATTCACAGCATTGAAATATTTTGGGCTTTTGTTTTTTTCCAGAACGAATTTTAGCTGATGAAGATAAACCATTATTTGGTCATTTACCTTGTCGACAGGTGAGGATCAAGTAGTAATTCCTTTCTGAATCAGTGGAAAAAGATGGAATTGTGCTGCTTTAATGCAGAAGATCTAAATTTTAAGTTATGGTTATTTGATAGCTTTATCTGTTGGATCTCAGTGTTTAGTCAATCAGTATCTGATTATTAATCTATTTAAAAATCAAATCTAGCAAAACTATTATGCTTTTTTCTATAAACGCATAGATTAGTAAGGCCAGGGTTTCTCATGGTAACAGTCAAAATAAGAATATTGAAGGGAACTTGTGTATTTGCATAAATATAAATATCTGTCATATACTTAGACACTCAAACTGCTCCCATAAACTGCAGCTTAGGGGCCTGAAAAGAATACTGTAAGTCAAAAGACCTTTTCATATTGAACTTCATTAACTGTAGCAGTGTCTCTTTTTCTTTGTTTTTAAAGGATGACTGCCTTACATCATTAACAAGATTTGCAGCAGCTCACTGGACAGTTTCATCTCTTTCAGCAGTACAGGGTCACTTTTGTACTCTCTTAGCATGTAAGTTCATTATCTTATGCTTTTTTTTACAAAGGTACAGGTAGAAAAATGCTCACAGAATGATTGTCTTGATTACAAGAAGATTGTTTTATGTAGAGGTTTTAAGTACTAGACCAAGAGCTGGTATTTTCACATCTGTACCTATACATATTTTGTCATACCTTGGAAAAAAAAAGACATTTCTTTTGGTCTGCAGTTCCAAGATACTTTTCAAGAGAAGCATGGATATTTTGCTATGAAGGAGTTCTGTTGATTCTTCCTAGTATTTTTATTGCTGCTTTTAGAAGGATACCTAGAGCAAAGGAGAAGGAAGCGTGGTCCTTCACAAAAGTGATATGCTGGAACTTTAAAGAGGAGGAAATTAAAATTAATATAGTATTGAAAGGAAATAGGATATATGCAGAGGTCTGTAATATATCTGCAAACTTCTCTGTCCTTGAAAAGTATGATCTGTGATAAGACAGGACTTATTATGTGATGTCATGTATTAGTTGAATTTTAGTGAAAACAGCCAAAATGTTCCAAGCTTGTAGCATTTGTAGATACAGGAGAAAAGTCTGAAGTTCAGCCTAATGCAGTAATTACCCACGAGAGGACTATTCCGAAAGGGTATTATAAGATGGGATAATTTAAATATTTACAGTCAGTAGAGCCGGGAAACTTTTAAAATGCATTCATATACTGAAATTACTAGTAGACTTCATACCACCTACTTCAGCAAACAGTTGGCAGCTTTATGGGGAAGAACTTAATTGACATCAGTTTGTAGCAGTAATGATTGAGCCATTTTCTACGTGAAGCCGAAGAGAAAATGTTGCTAACTATTTGACTGGAACTTTGTCATACATGGTATTCTGCATGGTTTGGGTTTTCTTGAAAACTTGAATCAATGTTTCTTCAAAGCTCTTCTTCCTTCCAGCTGACAGAAGCAACTGTACTGCTTTTATTTTTATTAAGGAAAACGGTTTGCTATTTTATTTTTCAAGGCTAAGAATAAGGAAAATTACTAGCCTTTGATCCATCAGTATTCTAGAACTATACATAAAGATCACTTATCAAATAAAAGTTTGATTTTGGAAGTCCTTTGCTCTGGTCACGTTTTTGACAGAAGCATTTCTCACACTTTTGGGTTGATTTCCGTGGCTGTATGCTTACAAAAGTAAAAGCATTTTGAAATCTGAGTGGTGGTGAAATGTTTGCTAATAGAAATAGCTTCAAAATGTGACAGATCTTCAGCTGTTAATTTTTTGGCCAGCAAGGCAGCAGTCTTCAACTGAAGTCTTTTTTAAGTTGTTATGATGAGCCTGTTTTTCACGGTAGTAGGGTTCTTAAACATGACAGCTTAATGCTTATGTCTACATTGTAAAACTATTCTCATAGCTGCAGTTGAAACTTTTATTGTAAATCAGATTTTACTGCTTGGAATAAAGACGTTTGCAACTGTTCAGTGATTGTTATTTTAAATATGTTGTAACATTTTCAAGACACTTTATGTTTGCTTTTAGATGGAGATACTTGAAATTTATTAAGTGTGTGAATTTCTGTTGTCAGCTGGAGTGCTTTGGTTAATACTTTGTGGTTATGGTGAATGTAAATACAGAGATGAGACCAATACCTAGCTCTTTCTTAATTAGAGATAAAATAATGAATTTAAGAGACTCTTCAGCAATGCACTTTTGAGTTCATAAGGCAAATGAGTTACGTGAGGCAGATTTAGTGAACCTTGTAAAGTTAAGCGAATAGCAAAAGTTTCCTTTGAACAGCTGTCCAACAGACAACAACTAGTGGTTCTATTTAGTCACCAGTGTTTGAGCTTGTTTCTGGGTCAGAGCTTGAGACACTGTCTTATTTTATCTCCTACGGGAAACCTAAGCAATAAAAGAAAGTCACTATGGGAGTAGTGAATGGCAGGATTTACTTTGTTATAATTACTTTGGGTTTGTTTCATTTCAATACAATATAGTCAGGTAGGCAAGAGTCTCTTCCAATAATGTTGAACAACTCTTGAATTCACACCTTTCTGGCCAAAACAGGTACATTTGTATTTTAAGTACTTTAAGCGTATAAACCAAGGAGATGGCTCTCATTTGTAACTGAAGTACACTAAAATCTTTTCATATATAAACGTTCAATTTATTTTTCTCTCTAAAAATACTCAGCACTGGTGCCTAATGAAAAAAATGGAAATCTTCCTTGCATACTTGATATCGACATGTTTCATTTATTGGTAAGTATTCAATAATATGTATAAATAATGTTTTGTTTGATCCAGTAGGCACTATGTGAAAACTTAATTGGAAACTCTCTCTTTACTCTGGATTAGGAACCTTTCAAAATGTTCAGGCTTTTAGTATTTTTACTAATACAATTTAAAGACTTTTTAAATTTCAAGTATTCTTATCTATAAATAAAAAAAGGGATAAAATGACGTGGAATGTGTGCTCTTTGGTTGTTAAAAAATCAAAAGAAAAAACCTAACCCAAACCGCCCCAACAAACCACAAACAAAAAATAGGGAAAAAAACCCCACAACTAAACCACACAAACAGACCCCACCCCCCCCCCCCCCCCAGTAGTTAATCATGGTTCCCTTAAATAATGGCCACCTAATTGGCCTCAAAATTAACCTTCTGAGGTATCCTGCGTTCAAAGGGTATAGTTGCAGCATGAGCAGAGAAAATGGGAAGATTCAAAAAGAAAAGGAATATACCAGCTTTCTTGTTTTCTTTTACAGGTAAGCTTGGTGCTCTCTTAGCCATACATTGTCAGGATTTTTCAGGGGTTAGTCTTGGCACTGGAGATCTTCACCTGTTTCATCTTGTCACTATGGCACACATAATACAAATTTTACTTACCTCATCAACAGGTAATGCCACTTTCTTTCAACTGTTATTGAAATGATTCCTCAAATCTGTATTTGGAAAATGCTAATGTGCTATTGGTAAATGTGTGCAGTTTACAGTGCAAAATAAAATTGCTGGTGCTCTCCCTTTTAGCCCATAGGAAGTATTGGTAAATTGTACTTACGAAAGTTCAGTCTTTTATCTTTATTGCTTAACGCTGGAGGTTTTTTGGAGCATAGCTAGTCATGAATCCTAGCTTTCTAGCTGATGTAGCAGTGCCTAAAGTGTTTGTTGCAGAGACTTGGCTTAGGCATTGCATGATGAATAAGTTGCAGTTAGTGAAGTAAGGAACCAATGTATCTTCTGGCAAGAGGAACTGGGTAAGTTGTAGTATGCCAAAAGCAAGTAACTCCAAGCAAGTATATTAAGAAACCCAGTCAATCGAACAAGTAAACCAGCATCTCACTGGAGTTGACAATAGCATAAACTTACCATGTAAGATGTGCAGAAAACTTTTTTCCAGTACCTCATATGGTAGTACAGTGCAATGTTTCACTTAGTTTTGGCTGCCTTCTCAAAACTTGAAAAATTACATTGTTGCTTTATAAACATGTATATACGAAGTAACTTGCTTATTACTTCTTTCTTCTTCAGAAGAGAATGGCATGGATCAAGAAGACACTAACAGTGAAGAGGAAGTAGCTGTGCTTACACTGTATAAATTTCTTTGCCAGTGTACAGGAAGGTAAAAATGTGATCTTTTGAAAAAATTTTGTAATATTTTCTCCCTCCCAGACTCAATGTGAATTACTGACTGAATTCTATATACTAATGCTGTCAAAGATAAGACTTTTCACTTGGGAACTCTTGCATCTTGTTTCTTAGCCACTGCTTCTAGATTCACTTCTCAAGTAACTATTCCTATAAATTCCTCTGTGCTCATGAAGATACCTGCTCATGAAGGTTATGCTCTCGAACAATTTTTTTAGTCAGTTTTCAAATGTGTAGAATCTGGAATTGGCAGTATCTGAGCATAGAAAACTTGTTAGGATCTGAAATGTCTGTGCAAAATTTTCCTTAATTTACTGTCCTGATTGGTTACACTTTTATGAATTTCTATCTTGTTGTTTTTCTTGGAATTAGCGTTGAAATAAACACTTTGCATAATGCTTATTTCAACTAAAGTGGGTAATTTACTATGAAATATGACTGAAGATTTACTAAATATAGCTCTCAAACTGAAATGATTAAATAAAAGCAAACTTTTTTTTTGTGTTATCTTAAGTGCCTTGAAAGAAATTTCCTCAGGCTGGCACCTGTGGAGGAATCTAAAAACTGGAATCATGCCTTTCCTGAGATGTTCTGCTTTGTTTTTCCATTACTTAAATGGAGTACCAGCACCCTCAGAAATTCAAGGTAGTGTCTGCGTTGTATTAAATCAGCTTTTCAAGACATAAACATTTATGGACAAAATCAATTACATTTAAACTCTCTTTTCTGAAGAAACTGATTGAATGAATGTGGGCTTGTTACCAATGCAGGATCATATCTACATAATGAAAAAGGCAAAAAAAATTATTTCTATTTTAAAAATGTATTTTTAGTATACAGACAAGTGCCATTCTAGATTACTTAAACAGAAGTTGATGCTCTTCTGTTAAAAAGTGAAATTTTGATTATTTCAAACCTCCTATTGATTACTATTTTCAAATGAGACCTGCTTTTGCTTGCATTGGTTTAATTTGAATCAGCATCTGCTAATAATTAGTATCTCTCTATACCATGTTACATTACACCCCAAATAATCAATGTTCAAAACATACATTACTGTCCTTCACATATGGTGTATATAGGGATAGACGTAAATCTGAAGATGTTGATAGTAGGTTCACACTGCTTCAGGATTCCCGTGTTTAAAACCAAGTCTGATACTTGGTGCTGAGCTGACATGAGAACAGTGGTTGTCTCTTGCCATGGGTATCTTCATGATTTGGTACTTGTTGTAGAATGTTTCCTTGACACATAGCTCCTTGACAGATTGTGTTTAAAATGTAGATTTTTTTCATTTAACAGTTGCAATACTTAAGCATTTGAGCCAAAAGAAAAGAAACCTCTATTCCTGAACTTGATTTTTCTATAACAAGGTTTATTGAGTTCATAGTCTGGACCAGTAGTGACCACTTGAGTTCTTTATGTTATGGATACTCTAAAGGTGAGGTACTAAGTGCAGATGTACTTCCAGACAGTAGGTCTGAGGGCCTTTAGAGAGTTGGTTGTAGGAGAGGGGAAGAGGAAGGCTTTGCTTCCCTTTTACAGTCCTCAAGTCCCAGGTGCTTGGATGGCCCTGCAGGTCCCCACTGCTGAGGGATGACCTGACGGTGGCCGTGGCACTGGGTGTTTTGCTTTCCCTTCCCACTCCCCTGCCCTAGGACCCACTGATCCCACAGCTGGCCTGTGTTGCTCTTTTCTGGTGTTTTACTGGGGTTTGCGAAATGGCAATCACTTGTGCATGAGACAGAAGTGAACACAGCTTTTATTTTAATTCTCTTTACTCCTTCATTCAGGAGCAAAAAAGGCCATGCCATGGAAGAGGTACTGGTACTCTTCATCATGAAAGCTGGGAGAGCAGAAGTCTAGGGAGTCAAGCTAATAGACTAGTATGAATATGGCAATCTGATGGCTGTCCCCCTACATATTTTAGTAAAGTTTGGCATTGCAGGCATTTGCAATTTCTGAGGCTGTGGTATGCTGCTTGTCACTGACCACCTGTCTCGTTTGGTTCACAGACTCCACGGAGTACAAGGTAGCCATTTAATGGACCACATTAAAACAAAGACATACTAAGTTGTAAAGGCCATTGAACTCTCTGTTGTGGTTCTTCTATGACTAGGCTTGAAACATGCTTAGGGGAGAAGTTTGAGGAAAGTTGCTTTTCATTACTGGGAGTTTCTGAGCATAGCTGTCTGGTACCTTTACTAGCACTTTCATATTTTGTACCAGGTTTTGGGTCTGGGGGATTAGAGTTTTAAAAAGAAAAAAAAAAAAGGATAGCTGTTCCATTATTTGAAGCTGTATTTCATTTATTGTAGATAATGTCATTTAAAAAAATGTAATTATGAGAATTACACTTTTTTTTAACAGTAAATGGAACAAACCAGTTTGAACACTTATGTAGCTATCTTTCCTTGCCGAACAACCTCACTTGCCTTTTTCAAGAAAATAGTGAGATTCTGAACACGTTAATAAAAAGGTAAGTCGTGTTTTTATGCTTAGTTTAAATATGATAAATAATCCTGCACAAGGTAGTAATAGAAGTATTCTCCCAGGAGTGCATATATGAACTGTAGACTTGGAAAAGCATTTGTGAAAGAAGTGTTTTGAAAGAAATCATTTTGGTTGTAGAGATTATTGAATAGATGTACTGTGGATTTTTGCTTATTTTTTTTTGGAAAGTATCATCTATTGAAGTTAAAAGCCAACTTCTTTCTTTCTTGTAGTTGGTGCAGTAACAATGAAGTAAAAAGATATCTGGAAGGCAAGAGACATGCTATCAGGTAAACATGGAGAAATTTGAAGCAGAGACTGGAGAAACTTTAATGTTGCAGTTTTCTCCAACTATTTTTTTTTCCTAAAGGGTGTTTATAATAACATAATATCAGTTCTGCTTTATTGAATGACAAAGTTATTAGGGGATAAGTGAAGAGATTTTTGGAATTTTGTAAGAAACGTGAAATGTTGCTTGAATTAGTAGATTTTAAAGGCAAAGTTAAATACTACAGTTTTATTTAGACTGATCTGTAGTAATCAGAAGCCATAACATTTCCTCTTATGTTTCCTATAGTGGATTTGTACCTTCTGATTCAAAATATATGCTGTTGCTAAAAGACATATATAACTTTTTCTAAAAATACCAGGCATTGAAGAGCTTTTTAAATTGTCTTTTTAAAGAATCCAAATTCTTCAGTGAAATTAACACTGAGTCAGTTGCTAAAAAGAGAATTTCCTTTTCATACATTTCTACTTGCTAAGCAATTATTTTGAATTCAGAAGGTGTTTAATACTTAGTGGGTGTAGAAAAGTGTTTGGGCTGTTTATGAAGGCTGGGTAAAAATAGTGGTCATTAATTTATAATTATTTGGATAATTGATATGAGGTTCATGGTGCTGTCATTAAAAACATTTCCCTGCATTTTAATCGCCTGTGCTAAATACATAAAGTCAATCTTTCAGTGTTGTACATACAATAAGGCTAAGTGACAGAAATAAGAATTAATCACTTCATCTGTTACATACCAGGCTGTTAACAGAATTTGTTGTACAGTAAGAATACTCTGATTGCATAATTGATTTCCTGTTATTTTAACTGTTACTTCTAAAGATATAACTATTTGGTATTAAGTAGGTCCTTTTCACTGTGTGAATATTTCATTTTCTTCAGGATACAAGTTCTCTGAACTTGAGAGTCAGACTGTTTTCTAATCAATATTAGTGACAAAGGGAAAATACAAATCAAATTGATAAGGGAGCAGAACAAATATTCAGTTAAACCAGTAGTGACCTCATTGTGAGGTTTTGCTAAAAGCATGCATTTGACATGTATTTGCTGACTTTCTGCCTGTGCATTTTCTCAAATTCATAAAAAATATGACTAAGAAAAATGGAGGTTGTCTAGTTGAGAGATGTTGTGGGTTCTTTTTTTATGTGCTACCATTTTACTCTATGAATGGCAGAGAAGAAGAAAACTTTAAAAATTTAATTATTCACAGATGCTGTTTAGATGAGTCAGGAAAACATGAATGAGTTTGAAATCACTGTGTATTATTTATTGAAATATGAGTGGTTAATTTGATTGCTTTATTCTAGCTATGCAAGAGAATCCAATAGATTAATAGACCTTCCGGACGACTACAGCTGCCTCATTAACCAAGCATCCAGTTTCTCGTAAGTTGTATGCATTTATAGTGAGGACCCCTAAAGTCTTCTGCTCCTTTTGATGAACTGGGAAACCACTAACCTGAAAGCCTCAGAAAGTTGTTTATAGAATCATAAAGTTAATGGCACATAGTGATTGTTATCTCTTCCAGCAAAACTGCTTTGTATTTCAGTGAAATAGAAACTGCAAGGGTCTGTATAACTGTTAACTGTATAAATGTTCAAAAGTACTTTTGAATCTTTTCACTGTTTAGAGTTAATACGTACAATGGATATGACTTTTTTTGCTTAACAAAAGGTGTCCGAAGTCAGGTGGTGATAAAAGCAGAGCCCCAACATTGTGCCTTGTGTGTGGGACCATGCTATGTTCTCAGAGTTACTGTTGTCAAACTGAATTAGAAGGAGAAGATGTTGGAGCCTGTACTGCACATACATACACTTGTGGTTCTGGAGTGGGCATATTCCTTAGGTAAGGAACTGAACACCTCTACTTATAATTGCTAGGTTAGATGGTGTGTGTAGACACTAAATAAATAGTTCTATAAATGTGATTGCAGATGTGGTTTGTAAAGGCAGTGGTTTGTTAAAAACAGGGTTGTCTAAAAACTAGAGTGTATTCATCTTCCTTATACTTTGGTATAAGGTTCAGAGGTTGTTTCTTTGAAAACAAAGTATCATGGAAATTTTGAATTTAATTTTAAAGTGAATTTGTTTTCTCTGTGTGTTTATTTCCACTCAAGTATTACAAAACAGTGAAGGTAAATACCTTGATTTTGTTGTTGGTGGTGCTGCAAACATGAAAATTCATTTCAGTTGTCTTCCTGCATACAAGGAAAGGTTAGGTAATACCTATTTTGACTTTGGCAAAGATTAGTGAGAAGTGAAATTGTTTTACTTTCTTGTTGTGGTTGTGTCGAGTGTTTTACACAGACTGCAAATAATATGACATGAAACTACATTGTTTTTAACTGCTACCAGGGAGTTGTAACAGGAAGATAATAAGATCTTTAGTTTAAAAAAAAGAAGTACCTTTAAAAATCTGTACATGCAGATTATATGGAATGAAAGTAGGTGAGAATGGGAAAAGCAGAGTTCTTGAAAGTATGAGAAAATGTTCACCTAAAAATCAATACCTGAAATCTTCTCTGTGTTTCTCTCTAGAGTACGAGAATGTCAGGTGCTATTTTTAGCTGGAAAAACTAAGGGCTGCTTTTATCCTCCTCCTTATCTCGATGACTATGGAGAGACAGACCAGGGACTCAGGTACATATTTTTAAAAATACATCTTTTAAAGACAGGAATTCTAAAACTATCTGGTTTGTAAAACACACTTTCTATGTTACCTTTTTATTTTAATTATATAGGTAATATTATATTTTGACATTGCTGCTGCATCTAATATCTTCAAACATTTTAATGCTAATAGGTGTTTTTAGGTTAAAAATACCCAATGGGAGATCTTTGCCAGGTTATAAACAATTGTCCTGAGGTGTAAAAAGTAAATCTTTTTAGCATCTGTGAAATTGCCTAGAAACTAAGGCTGAAAATTTTATTTATATATAGTGCGTTTATTTGTATAATCTGTGTTAATTTAATACCAAGTGAAAATACCACAAGATTATTTTATTTGATATGGTAGTTCTTTGTCTTAGCTCCTATCTTTGCTTCCTATGAGAATATTGGTGGGGGACTAGACAAGGTAGCACTCCAGTTTACTAATCCAAATGTCTGTTGATTTGTTCTGACAAGAGAAGAATGTTAAAGGGTTTTCTAAATATTGAATATGTTCAGAATATGTCACGCCTGAGTGTGTGTGCTGAGTTGCAGTGTTTTATCATTCCTGATAAGTATTATCTCCTTTTCAGACGTGGGAATCCCTTACATCTGTGCAAAGAACGATTTAAAAAGATTCAAAAACTCTGGCAGCAGCACAGTATCACAGAGGAAATTGGACACGCACAAGAAGCAAATCAAACACTAGTTGGCATTGATTGGCAGCATTTATAATGCTTATCTGCTGAAGACTGGAACTTTATTAAGATTTTTGTAACAGTAAGCTTTTCAAAGGAGGGATGAGGAAGAAAAGTCTGAGGAAAAAAAAATGAACACCAACAAACCCAGTCTTGTAATTTAATCTTTGTTTTACAATGTATTTCATAAGGATACCAGTTAACATAAATCAAGTAAACTTCTTTCTATGTAAGCAAGTTTTATTAGTCATATAATGTGCACTGTGCTTCCTTCACAGAAATGTCTTGGGTTATAAACCTGGGCAAATGAACTTGAGTTTCTGATAAAAAAAAAAAAAAAAAGAATGACTCTTTTTGGAAGTCTGACTGATTTTTCTTATAAACTGCAAGAAAAAAAAGACTGCTGAAACAGAAACTAGATAGAGCACAACTACGGATTGTGTTTTGCCCCTTGCTAGTAATCTGAGCCGTTTTATTTATTATTCTGCATTTTAATACTTAAGCTATGTGTACATGCAATGGAATGAAGTAAGGAAGCAAATAATGTAGCAAATGGATGTTTCTGTCTGCATCAGTGGATAATTCACTCTTTCACTTGGTGTACCTAAACCGATTTTGTCATTTGTACTCTTGCAGCTTTCTTGCTTCCAGTTGTTTTTAAACTAAAAAAAACAAACCTAACACTAGCTTTACAAGTAAAATAATTTAATTTAAAGCTTTTTCCAGAGCATTGCACTCCTTAGAATTACGTAGTTTGTAATTTGAATTTAGCTGGGAAACCCTTTCACTTTCAGTTATGTGATTGGTTATTGGTATTCAAGGGTTGACATTGTGCTTTAGAAGATATTTTAAGATAACGACAATACGTAAAATGTCATGACAGCTAATTTTATGTTAATTTTCAGAAGCACAGAGGATATTTTCTTCATTTTTCCTAACAGCCACCTTTTAAGGTGCAAATCCCATCTCCTTTCTGTTGCAGACAAACTGAATGGTTTCCTCTGGCTTTGAAGGGCCACAGTCACACTGCCCACATTTTTGCATCGATTCTTTCTTTTTTTTTTTTTTTTTTTTTCTGTTGTCCCATCAAGTATATTTACTTTTTGGCTTGATTTAAAGCTCTGTAAAGATGTTTGCATATAGTATATTTTATAAATATATTCTATAACTGCGCAGATTTGCACTTGATACGAGGGTGCCTGAAGGCAGTGAGTTTTCTAGTTGTATGTAATTAGACCGCCAAGGTGTCTCTAAAAAGTGACATTATGCTTACTGATTTTAAAATAAAATCCATTACCTTTTTCTCTCTTATTTTCTGACAAATTAGTAAAATCTTAATTTACATAATTCTATTTCTTTAATAATCTGTGGTTCTTTTAGTTAAGTCTTACTTTCTGACTATGTTTTCAGCCCAGATAAGCAATCCCTTTACTGTCTGCTGTGTCTTCAGTTACACTTGGTCTGACTGAATTGTTTCTATTTTTACAGATTTAATGCTTCAGATAAATTTTGTATATTCATGGTGTACAGGACAATTTTTCAAACATTCAGTAACAGTATTGAGTGAAGATGTGAAGTATGAAATAAAGAAACTTGGCCAATGTTGATTTCCTTTTCTTAAAAACAGTACAGACTACTCTTGGCTCTACTACCTGTTGTAGGTCGAATCATTTATATATTGCTGTCACTTTTTACAGAGACATGCAGAAGTTGCAGGGAAAAATTACATTAATGCTTCATCTTTGCCTTCCTCTACTTAAGCTGGTTGATATATCAACAAGTTTCTGTGCATGGTACTTAGAAATCACACTTTTTTGGTGATGTTACTATTCCTTTGCAGAGATTCTTGCTTTTTAAGCTGTGTGCCACAGTTTCAAATGATGTGTAACTGCATTGAAAAACTCTTTCCTGTAAGCATAATATTAAAAAGATAATTTATGATACTGACAGATTTCTCTGTGCAAAGCAAAATATTGACAGCAAGAAGGATTTTTTTCTTCTGAGATCACAGTTGAAGACTGCGAGGTTGAATAGGTTGGTAAAATTATGACCACAAGTAATTGCAAAGTACACAATTTATCATCTTTTTGCACTTGAGTTATTCATTACTCAAGACTTCTATTTTCTGATTTGTTCTGCATGTATTTATATTAATGTAGAAATATTTATATATAACATTGTTTCAGTATCAGGGAAATAAGATCTGTAATAAATTGGCTATAACTTTAATATTTATGGATTATGTGTACAATTGAGAATGTATTATGTGTTTGGGGGGAGGAAAAATACCCAACAACAAAAACCCATAGAATCCTCAAACCTGAAACCATCATAACAGAATACAAAACAAAGCTGAAAACATCAAGTAAATGCTTTTGGTGTTGACATTCAATAAGTACTTTTAAAATGTTGTTTTTAGAATTTTGCTGAGCTTGTTCCGTCGAGTGTGTCACCTTGTTAATCACAGGCTAACAGAAATACCTGGATGTGCAACATCTGCAATTCCCCAGCTATAAATGTAAGATGATTATATTATTAGTGTCACTTGCTTCAGTCAGCTAAACCTTTCTTGACCTCTACCAAAAAATCTAATCGTCCTTTTAAAGGATTGTAAATTGCATTTTATAAAGGGATGAGGGTTGAGGTTCACATCAGTAATGTTTTTTACTCTGTTCGTACTTCAAGACAAGACTTTTTACTGTCCTCAGTCTGCCGTAGGAGGCTCTTTCTTACTCTGGTGGAAGTACATAACCAAGGTAACGCCTGATACCTTCTGACTCGTGCCAAGAGCCAGCAATCCCCACAGTGCTCTACCTACTTCATCTGTAATGTTATTGGGAATTTGTTGGCTGGGATGAAGTGCTCATGGATTCTCAGCGTATTTACATCTCTAGCTCTCCCCGGCTTCCCTACAGCTTTCTTCTGTGTCTCTCAAACTAGTCTTCATGCTGATGACTAAGGAAGTTAAATTCAGGCCTCATTTCCCACTCTAGCGTTAGGTTTCATGTGTTGCTGCACTGTACCGTTAACTTCTTTTATTGGGACAGTGGACATTGGACATGCAGCCACACAGACCCTTTTCTATCCTTTTACGTTTGACATGAAGCCCTACCAGCTCTCATGCTCCAGCCCTGGTGTCTCATTTTAAGTGCATTTTATTTTATGCTAAATGACCTGTGTTTTGTTTAGGAGCTCCATCATTGTGATAATTTTCTTTATGACCTGAATGTGTAGAGGAGAAGCTGGATGCTTGACCTACTGTACAAGTACCTTCAGCACAAAATCCCAGCTGTTTTCCTTTCTGGAAGATTAAATTGCACAAGAGGAGTTGCATCGCAAATCTCTTGGCAGTAGAGTCCTGTTATGATCAATTGAGCATGCAGTCTGCCTCCCTTCTGCCCTGAACTTTCCTTCTCTGCTCCTTTCTAGGAATTGCCTTTGGCGAGAAGTAGTGGCTCTGTATTTCCATTCCACTGTTGAAATTATTGATTATATAAGTCAAATATGACAGTATTAAACAGTTTTTGGCTTGAATATGAGCCCCTGGAGAATGCCACTTGTAACTGGTTGGTTTCCAACTGTTTGTTGCTGCCCTCTGAGCCTGAAAACCCAGCCAGATTTCTATCCGCCTTGCAGTCTGTCTAGTCTGCATCTCCTCAAATTGATTACAAGGATGCTGTCTGAAATCATATTGAAAGATTTTCTAAAATAAGAGAAAGTGGTTTTACAACAACTTTCACTTACTAAAAAGCAAAAGAGGAACAGGCCTTTAAACTAGACCCAACAGTTGAATGATTTTTGTCTATGACCAGGATAGAGAGGCTATCTCTGATAACAGCAAGTTGGGCTTCTGTGGGTCTTCTGATCTTCATATTTTCATACTGCTATCTGCTCTGCTTTTGATGAGCCAGGACTGTTACCTGGACAATCTTGTATCTTGCTGGGAGTGGGATGGTGCTCTTCATATCTTAACTGGCATTTAAAGAGAACTTTCTTGGGGAGGCATCCACTTCTCTACCATTAACTGTTCAGTTCCTCAGCTCCTTATGGTGAGTGTCTCAGCATCCTCTTTGACCCTGCATGGAGAAGGTTGGAGACTTCATGGGAACAACACTGGATTCCGTTATCAAGGCTTGCCTTCTG